TCCTCATAACTGTAGAAATCTAAGAAATGCCATAATTTGCCATATAATATAATAATATATGACAGTCCGCTAATGCTCGAATTAAATGTTGGTCATAAATTCGAGATGGGCAATGTTACAACGAAGAATTTGTTAATTTAATAGTTTTTATTTATTTATTTATGAAAAAAAAAAGGCTCCAAATGCGCTCCATGTGTCTTTCAAATGCAAAGCACCTAAGAATATAGGTCTGGGCATCAACTATATGTTACCTTTTCCGCCATCACTATTGTTCTTTGATCAAATTAAAGCTAAAGTTTTTTATTTTCCCAAATTTATATTATTATAAGATCAACAATGAAAAAGGTGAGCCATCAAAAGGTACAAAAATGGTGAACAGATCAAAATTAAATCAGGAAAGAAGGCTTAGATATCACCAGCAACGAGTGAAAAAGTGAAGTGCTTTGTTTTAAAAGGGCTGTCCACTTTCTGCATTTTATTATATATTAAAGTTTAAACATTCAATATATATATATATATATATATATATATATCTAGTGTATCTTCCTTCCTGCTTTTGAGGGGACTTAAATTAGATTCCACAAGGCGTTTGCATGCCATTAAAATAAAGCCAGTGGTTGTTGGTCTTTCTTGGGGATATATATATATATATATATATATATATATATATATATATATCTATATATATCATGCAGTACTTAATCACTAATCCACATAATTAATTATAATTCATCTCGCGCATTGGACAAGGCATTATACGAGTATATAATATATTTGTGATAATACAAAGGATTAATTTTGAACAATTTTCTTGTAATCAACTGTACTAATCAAATCCTATCATATCACCAGTCTATGATAGTTTAATCATTCTTTTATGTTCTAAAGTGCCCGTAATTTTTTCTTTCAAAAAGTATTATCATTAATCTCATTATATATTTATTAATGTGTAAACTTTATCGGTCAGAAGAACTCCATGCCTTTTGCCATGCAAACTCCAAATATATATGCAGTGGATCAAATGGAGGAACTAATAACTATGTGTGTGAGTGTATGTGACTTTACGTTGTCCCCAAACGTACCCTCCAGCTCATATTATCAACTCAATTAATTAATCTGATGTCTTCGTTTATTCAAAAGCTAGCCTAGCCGGCATTTAATTTGTTAGCGAGGAAGAAAAACTCCATTAATCATACCTACGCTCATTGTCATTCACATTGGACTTCCACTGCCATTGCTTTCACATAATTGGGCAAATTTGATAATATTCTACTTTTCGACTGTATGATTAATGACAGACTGATATATATATATATATATACACACTTCTCTTCATATGTGAAAAGTCATTAAATACTTGATAATTTTTTTAAAAAAAAAAAATTCCTGAAATATTACCACTAAGTCCTACTTTTATCATTAATACAAGAAGTCTTACGAAATTCAATTTAAAAATATTTTGTAGAATTCATGATGACTTTAATACACAAAAAAACTAAAATATTTTATAAAATAGTCAAATAAGAAAAAAAGAAATTCAAAAGTAGGATTCGTTGGTCCTAAAGAATTTATGGGACATTTTTTCTTTTGGTGAAAAAAGTAGGACTTGGCGGTAATTTTCTTCTTCTTTTTTTGGGTAAATATTTTTCTTCTTCTTCTTCAAAAGTGAAAGCAATTGTAAAGAAATGGAAATGAATGAATTTCATGTTACCACCTCTTCAAATGAAGGAATTTTATGCGCTGGGTTCATCATTAGAGAACAAATACTAAAAGGAAAAGGAAGAAAGTTTAAAGATTTAAAAGAAAAGAAAAGAAAAAATGACAACTAAAAAGAAAAGAAAAGGAGAAAAAAAAAAAAAAAAGCAGTCTAAGATAGAAGGCTTCTTCCTTTAAGAGAAGCAACAAAGTGATAAAAGAAATAATGAATAGCATAAGAGAATATAATTATACTTATAAGCTGGTTTAGTTCCCAGATAAACGAAAAAAATAAAAAATAAAAAATAAAAAGAAAAAAGAAAAAAAGAAAAAAAAGAAAAAGGAGAGAGAGAGAGAGAATTCATGAAATCCCGCCTTTGCCTTTACAATTTGCATTAATTTGCGGAACTCCTAATTATCTTTTTAAAAGCCAATAGCGACAAATTCCCTACTTATGCTTGATAAATTTAAAGTTGTGAAGATAATCATCTTTTTTAGATTCTAAAGTAAAAACATCTTTAATGTTTAAAAGAGAGATGCTTATCTATGTGTTTTTTTTTTTCATAATATTTTTAATTTTTACTTTTGCTTTTGTTTTTTTGATTAAGCTGTAGATTTTAAATCCTTATACGGCAACTTTTTAATGGTTTCCAAAGATGAGAATGTTACGAAAATCAAAGGTAGAAAAAGTTATTCTTTTGCAAAATGCATGAAAAGTAGTGCTCTTTTGATTTTTCTTAAGGAAGATTTTGTTTTTCCCTTCTAAAGTAGACAAAAGTTGGCTCTCCTTTGCACACCCATTACGTAATGGATCATACCTTAATCTTACTTTGCGCATTTCCAACATTCCTCCTACACATACTTTTTACTTGGGTAATGCATGCATCTGTTTATTCCTTACTAATTTCATTGGTTTCCATCCCCATCCCATTTAACTCAAAGGTAATTTTCACACACACACACATATATATACTTATATTATTTTTGTCTCGGTGAAGATATGAGTGTATGAGTTCGCTTTAATTTTGGAGGAGGATGATGAGGTGAATTTTAGTTTTGAATTTAAATAATACAATGACGAATGATGCATGGTTCTTTTTTTTCATCGAGTGAGAAGGAAATAGAGTTGTGTCGGGAGGAATTAGAAATTTTGATTTAAATCAATTGTAATATAACTTTATTTATAATATTATTGCTATTAGTATATATATTGAGGAAACTATAATGCAAAAATGAGAAAAATGTCACCTAATTAAATTAATAAGTAAAGATGAAATCTATATATATATATAAACCTATAGAAGAGAAAATGATAAGTACGTTATGCCTAAAAAGAGAAGTTGTAAAGCAACTAGTGTGGATATAGAATTTGTACGTCACTTGATAAGTAAACCAAAAATATTAGTCGTCATTTGATAAATTATAAATAATTTTGTTGAAAAGATATTCTTTCGGACTTGTACTTCTTTTTTTTTTTTTCTCAAAAAATGAAAACAACTGATCTTGTTTTAAGAATAATCGGTTAGTAAGAGATTATTTCTCATATACAAAATTTTCAACTTATTCCACATATCCGCCCGAACATTCTCCTATCACATCATACACAACACCATCTCTTAATGTCAATCAAATCGCACTCATTGCCTTCGAGTTAATCTTCCACCATTTTATATATTTCATCTTTTTCGGTTCGTGCCCAAAGTCTCTCCTAAACCATGTTGAATCAGTAAATCCAACATCCAAACTTGCCAAAAACTGAAGTTCTTTCTTCCATTGAATTTCTCAACCACCTACTTTCCATCTATAGTAGTTGTCACCTTAACTCTAATACCGAATGTTATGATCGCATACACACTATTGGCAAATTGTCTACATCGACGGACGAAGAATGACGATCTTTATTTCAATTGTTACACACTCTTTCACTTCTCACAACTCATTCACACCCATCTCTATTTATCGGGTGTTCAAATTCAATTCCTTATTAGACAAGAATTTTACCACTTGCGGAGTAATAAATTATAATATCAACCTTGCTACACAACTTCCCAAATGAATTAAAAAAAAAACCAATTCTTGTATATGTATCAGGCACTTTGGACTGGTCTATAAAAAGTTGGAGTGGAGGAGTTAGACATCCAAATTCTCCAAAAACATTATCCTAAATAAAGCAACAACTCTGCATAGGTTAGACATATAGATGCATTCTAGTCAATTTTAACCAAGGGTGCACTATTTGCTTACATCTATTAGTTCATAAGGGATTCAATACCGACTTTGACAAGGATTAGAGAGAATATTACTTTAATATTTAAATCCTTTGACAAAAAGGAAGCAAAAGTGACCAAAGTGGTGATGAAATAATTACTATAGTAAAAGGACTGGAAAAATTAAAACAGAAGACTAATTATATGAAAATTGCTGTTGTAAAAATTACATGATTAAAAAATAAAAATAAAAAATGTCCCACATGATCTCTTTTGCATATTGCACAAATGATACTCTAATTATGCGTTTGTTTGAATTTGTCATCTTCCCATCCTACAAACTTTTGATGGAAAGAAATAGTTCCAGGACAAAATCTCATTATTTGTGTTTTTCTAAAAGAAGATCATACAATGAGAACTATGCGGAGAAATTTGTACAAGTAGACCTTTTCTTAGTTCTGGCTGACCTCGTGAATCGTGTACCTGTGTGTGTGAGAGGGCCCATCAAGAAAAGAAAAAATAATAATAATAACCAAGAAGATTTTGAAGAAATTTTTTTTTTTCTTTTTTTTCCCCGAAGTTATAGTCTTGTTTTTCTACCATTTAAATGAAAGTTTTGTCATGAAAATTTCGGGAATTATCTGGGGTCAATGCATAATCATTGAGTAATCTAACCTAAGAATTTTTTTAAAAGCTTAAGCAATTATTAGATAAATACTTAAATCCTCCTACATGCTTTATTTATCATGAGATTATTTGACGAGGTTTACCGGCTGTGTGATTCTATATAACAATCATCTATTTCAAAGTTTTAGACTATTAAAAACCATTATGAATTTCAATCTTAACAAAATGATTTCTTTCGTGCAAGTTAGGCATGACATTTGCTCAGCTAGTTTAATATGTGCACAAGAGAGACACTTGAATCCGTATATACATGAATTTTGAAGAATGACTGACTGAATCTCAACTATATATGTCACTTCAACTGAAAAATTAAATGAAAGAAACTGTTTCACAAACTGAGGCTCTTCTTGTAGGAAAAATAGGAAGCTTACCCAAAATAAATAAATAAATAAAAATTAAATCCTTACCCAGGGAAAACAATAATAATAATAATAATAATAAGATAGAAGGTACATGCAGGAACAAAAGAATCAAAACATGCTTTTGGATCTCTCTAATCAGAACCAAATAACACTAATATATATATATATATTACAGGAAAATAATGGATAATAATGTACATGTACATGTTGCTTTGCATAAAGAAGCAATTCTTTCAACTCGATCCATCACTCCATGCAAAGAAATGTTTGAGATTAAAAGACAAGTTAAAAAAAAAAAAAAAAAAAAAAAAAAAAAAAAAAAAAACACCTAATGCCATGATCATTTGAAGTTCTTTCTTTTTTACAATTCCTGAATTCTGAAAATAATCTGCCTATCAACTGATTCAAGAAGCCCTATATCATCAATCGACTGATCCTCAGCATTATCATCATCATCATCAAAGGAAATGTTCAAATCCAAAGAGACACAAGGGCTTGTTTCCTCCAACCCACCACCACCTTTGTCTTCTTCACAACCGTCTGATCTTTGCTTGATAGGTGGAGAGCAGGCTCTTGATCTCGAGCTGAAGCTTTCACAGCTCAAAATGATGATACCATCACTGAGAATAACTTCTTCACCATTTGATTTGGTTATTCTTCCTCTTTCAATAGCCCTTTTAATCCTCATTTGAGAGCAATAGTCTGCTTGCTCTACATCTTCAACCAAGAACACCCTATGAGGATTAGTAGATACTGCTTCAGCAAACCTCTCCAAATAGCTGCAACTTTGCTCATCTCTTGATCTTTTATTTCTCAAGTCCTCAGTTGAATCCGCCCTCGTGGATGAGAAGCTGCTCAGAGCAATTGATACAAAGCTCGAATGTGAGCCAAAAACAAGTCTAGCCAATTCCCTAGCAATCTTCTCTTTGGCATCTGCATCAACTCCTTGGAAGAACAGCCAAGTCTCTTCTTTTACTTCACTAGTACTTCTCACCTTCCCTTTTCTTCTCACCATACCGGACCTGCACTGCAATATCGTGCTAGCGATTTCAGGAACAATGTCTTTTTGCCATGGGACCTTTCTCTCCAATGCAGTGCATAGAGTTTTCAGGTTCTCAGAGCTGAGCTCCTTGAACCTTTGAACATACTCCGTCTCCATGACGTCGCTTGAAGAAGCTGAATTAGGGGTGGAATTAGGATTGGACCAAAATGCTTGTTTGGAATATTCTTTGTGCTCAGGAATGTACATTCTCAAACTTGGTTCAAGGCTCTTGTTAGCAGCCTCAGAAGTAGTACTACTCCAAAAATGATGGTCCCTCCAAGAATGTTTGGGTTCGAAAACTGAACCACCTTGGTGCAAATTAGGGTATTGATATTGGTCATGTGAAAAACCAGAAGTAGAGGAAGAAGGTGATAAAGAAGAAAAGGTTATAGTTCTCTCAGATGAGTGGGGTTGTTTGTGGACTGAAGTGCAGAATGAGTTCCATTTTTTGAAGAGTTCTCTGACTGGAACAGAGTCCTGATAGAGAGAAGACATGATATATATATATAAAGAAAAAGTTAAATTAGTAATTTTCAACTTGTCCAAACTTTGAAAAATCTATTAATTGCTTAATATGGTAGAAAGTCGAGAGGAGATTATATATTATAATTACCTGATCATTGCTGCTAAGTCTTGTGTTCTCATCCCTGTATTGTTGTAGCCATGAAGGGAGACTTGAGGTGGTGGCCTCACTGTTGCAAGTGCTGCTCTGTAAGCTGCGAGCGTCAATCTCAAACTTGGCGGAGCATTCAGCGCAGCAAGTTAGCTGCTGATCTTCCTCTTTACCTTCAAGCATAAACCAACTAAAACTACTTCCTGCAGCTGCTTTCTTGCTTCTTGATTCACTTTGTATATCACTGATTGGGAAAATGTAAAGTGAGGATGATGGTAAGAGACCGCATGCAGCAACTTAATTAGGGAAATATCAATTCTTCTTACTACTTTGTGTGTCATCCCTTAAATTTATTTCAACAATATAATTACAACCAAAAAAAAGAAGAGGTATAAATAATACTACTGGTAAATGGTGTAATTTTGCTTTTTATACAAGAAAATCACCACTAGAGAGACAGAAATATATATATATATATATATATATATATATATATATATAAAAGATATATAATTCTAGTTCTTTCATATGTTTTATTAATCTTAATTTCCATACTCCACAAGTCGATCAAGTGAAGAAACCAAATTAATAAGTAGCTAGAGATCAAAATAAAATTGTACTACCAAAAGAGAGAGATCGAATTTAGTTTACTGCAGATTTCTTTTTCCTTTGATTTCTTCAACATGAAATCAGTGATGCATGCTACTTATTTTCAATTATAAATGACAACCCCAAAGAACTGTATTTTAATTTACCCAGGAGCTAGCAATATGTGAAATTAATTAGTTCCTAACTTCAACAACTGTGTGTCTGTTTGTGTATATATATATGTGTGTGTGTTTAATTTACCTGTCAGGGATGAGACTCAACCCCAAACCGCCTGCCGGAATTGTAAGAGGATGAAGACCCCAAATAGTTTCTAGAGAAGGGTGGCCGGTCCTACACCTCATGTAAGTTTGGAAAGTTGCAAGCCCCATGAGCCACAACCTGCAGCTTCCACCCTCTCCAACTACTCCACAAACCAGTCTTCCAAGCTCCATGATCATGTGCTCCACTGGACAGTAGTAGCTCCTCCCTTGATCATAATTAGTAGTAGCCCTATAGTAGTAGTCTGTGGCCCATTTCAGGTCTCCCAAATACAAAACAACCCCTTTGCTCATAGGACTCTTAATGAGGCACTTGAGCTCTCCAAGCTTCTGTTCAACCTTTTCTCTAGAGAGATGCATATATGATGGAGGGAGGCTTACAAACTTCACTTGTCTCAAAGCCTCAGGAACATCTCCTTTCTCAACCTTGTCCATCACTCCTTTAACTACACCTTCTATACTAACATGACTTTCTCCTACAATCACAATACTTGTTCTTCTCTTATTCACCATGTTCTCTATCACCCTCATCACATCTTCATTATTATTCCTAATATTATTGTTTACTACTACTTGATGATCTGATCCCGCCCTTGCTCTGTTGTTGCCTACTTCTTTTTCTGATCCAATTTGATGAGATAAGGCGGGATCAGGAGGAGGAGAGTCATGGGACGTGGTCAGGACTAGAAGGCTATTGACATCTTTGGACTTATTATTATTGCCTGTTTGAGAGCATAATTCCAAAGAGACAGCTTGCTCTACATTGCTCTTCACTTGGGTACTGGAGAAACCAGCTTCCCTCATGACTCTGCTTACACTAGGATCATCTAAGATAGATATTATGAGTTGCTCCAGTTCAATCTTCACAGCTAGGAGGGGCTGCTGCTGGTTTTCTATAGAGCCACGTCGCTGGTGGGCTTGAGCACGCTTGAAGGCGGCTACTAAGGCATTAGAAATGGAAGGATGTTGTTGGGAATGAGGTGGACCACCCAACATGGGGCTGGATGAGGAGGTAGGGAGGCGGTTGAGGGCCACGTTGAAGCAAAGTTCAAGGGCTTTGCATTGGAGGGGGTGGGAGTGGGATTGAAGGCAAGCTGTGCGGAGGAGGCCGGTGGAAGAGACGAGCATGGTGTTGGCTACATGGAGGGGAGTCACCTGGGCATGGCCACGCCGTTTAGCAAGGGTTACGGCTTGCTTAACCACACTGGCTGCTTCTGTGGTTAGAGATTGTTGCAGTGTGCAACCTCCACTTCTCATCCTGTCTACCTTTCTCTCAACTACCACTATCTACCTACAAAAATACTAATAGATATATTTATGTATATGGAGGAGAGAGTACTGCTTGATAATCAAATTAATAATAAGATGAAGGAATATATATTTCATGAATAGATGCTTTCGAATTCTAAGAGAGAAGAGAACATCAGATGGGCTTCCAACACTACTTTTGTTTGGGAATTAAGACAAATAATACTAATATAATTAGAGAGAGGGTTAGAGAGAGAGAGAGAGATAGAAATTAAGGAAGATGTGCTAGCTAGCTAGGGGTCTATATATATTGATACTTAATTTGAAGGGTCTTCTTCTTCTTCTATATGTACTGATTATTCTACTATATATATATATATATATATATATATATATATATATATATATGTGCAGTGTAGTAGTGACAGAGAGTGAAATGGAAGTTGTGATCTATATAGCTACTCCTATGTAGATTATGGTTTGGTCATTGGTGGTGTGGAAGAGAGAGATCGAAATATATGGTTTGGTGGGGTGTGCTTTTCTTGTTGGTGAGGTTAAATTTGGGGTCCAAAGTCGATTTTGTTGTGGAAAGTGGAATGCATGTGCCGACAAGCAGGACGAATGCACCAGTATCAAAGGCAACTCGGCTTTGTGCTCTCTCTCCATATATATATATATATATATATATATATATATATGAATGTATGTATAAGTATAATAATAAAGACTGGTTATGTGCTAGTGCTTCAATCTCTTCTATGCAGTATTGAAATCAACATATTAATCTTGGTCTAATCTGCTTTCTATACCCAACTTGTCCTCAAATTCTTCTTTTTTCTTTTTCTTTTTTTTTAAAGTTTCATTTGATTTGAAGGAACTGAATTATCTTCAGTTGTATAAAGTAGTATAACTTAAATTTAGAGATACTAACTTAAATTCAGTTACATTAAAAGGATTGTTGTAAAATTATAGGATATATATATATGTAATCTGATATCCCTTCCGGAATCAAAATTGATAGAAATTTGAACAATCTTTTAAACTCTTCCATCCAAATGGATCTTTTTTAAAAGATAAGTAAATTAAACTCAAAAAGCTATGTAAATACTTACTAAAATAACTTGAAAAGGACAATTCTAACCTCTTTATTTAACATGTAATGTTACATCAATAAGATAGAAGGGACATGCATGATACTTATGAATTTTCACAAATTTAAGGAGGAAGAGAAAGAGAGAGGCTCCTCCCTGTTGCAGCAAATACGAGGACCTGAAAAGAGAAGAGGGAGAGACTGTCTGTCTTGAAGGAATCGGGCCATGTGTACGATTTTCCAAGGAATAAAATGGTTCAATTTCGTTATGGCTTTCATATATATCTTATTTTTAACCTTTAACATACTCATTCTCGTAACAAGAGTTATGTCTCTTTCTGATGTGATAATTCTCTTGATCGATCGGCTTATTTTTTTTTAAAGCATTCATCAATTAAGCGGTATAAAATGATCATCTGAATATTTTTATTGATTATTTAAACTGACTATTTAAGCAACTGTGAGTAGTATTTTTCATATATGTGTGTGTGTATATATATACACAGACATATATATGAGTCGCATGTGTGAGTGTGGAGTTCAAAAGACTACTACTATACTCCCCACTTGTACAATAGTGAATACTGTGAAAGCAATCTTTTGCATGTGAACATAGTCCTTGAATATATATATATATAAGATGAAGCTTTAGAAGACAGGTAGATTAAGAATCCTCCCAAACCCTCTCTCTCTGAATTATTTCATAAAGTTCTAAGCTTTTGGACCGACGTCTTTGATTCATTCAGAAATAAACAAACAAACCACAAAGTGAGAAACAACGTACTGATAACGAACTCTCAGGAAGATTGTAATATTATTTTCAATATTTTCGCCCAGTTTAGAAAAAATGGTTATACAATCATACTTTGGCATGAAGTGTAGTAACATCATTTTACCAAAAAAAAAGCAGTGGTAACTCGATAAGGTTGGGATTATTTAAGAAAAAAACTTTGGAAATAGCATTGTGACATTGTTTTATCGAATTCATTTATGACTGCCCACTCAATTTTCATTTTTCCGTACTTAATTTCCAGCACTTACTTTACTTGAGTGTATTTTCGTTATAGTTCAAACTTTGTGATTAAGTAGCATGTTCGTTTCAAGTGTTTCATTTTAATCTAATCGTTTTCTTCTTCCATTTCATAGCCATTAATCACAGCTGAAGTGAGAATATATTATTTGGCTTTATTTCATTGAATTAACAGTGAACTCCGTATATCCTTGTGCTTTCGACGGGAAGAATATAAGTTTTTTTTTGAGAAATTTTTAGATTGTCCATGGGTTATTGGTTTTGACCAATCACCGCTAGACACATTAGCAAAAAAAATTACACATTTTTTACACAATTACTTACGTGTCCATTAATGACTATCTAAAAATTTCAAGTTATTTTTCGAAAGCTAGGTTATTACATGATGGGTATTGTGGAGACTGATAAATACTGTACACCGACCAAGACCCATGCGAGGGTATTTATTCACTATCAAATCTTTGCAACCTTTAACGTAGTCTTAATTTTTTGTGAACGAAGTAAAAATCCGCATGTTCTTGTTGTCTGTAGTTAATCTCATTTTTTTGTATTTTTGTTTAATTTCGCAACAGGTACCAACCAATCAAAAGTTGATGGATAGTCATTCTATAATTTGTCAATATGTGTGGGCCAAACAATACCCTAATTAAAGTAATAATATGTAGATTTGAAGGATTGTAATACTCTTGCAAGAAGCTAGACTTGTTCTTCAACTGTGTGTGTGTGTGGGGGGGGGGGGGGGGGGGGGGGGGGTGGAGGTTGGCTCAACGACAACCTAGGTTAGTGGGTTTCATTCCCCCACAGTGCAACTTCATAGAAAGTTGAGCTACAGACCACTTACAATCCACCTTATCTGTATGGTGTATATAAAAATCAACACTATCTAATTATATATATATATATCTATATTAACTAATCAAAACACATTCATTCCTTCCTTCCTTAGTCCTTGCACAGAAAACAAGAGATCTCGCTTTCATTCCCCAATCATCTTCGGCTTTTACTTGTTTTATTGCAGGTCCCGATGACAAATTAATTTTTGAATCATTTCGTATTGATGAAATAGAGGTAGTACGTTTAAAGAAGAAATTAAATATTTAAAAAAAAAAAAATCAAAAGAAAGAAGAGAGAACCCAATCACATCCGATATTATAGCTACGTACCCAAAAAAACCATAGGAATGTTTTGCTATAGGGACCAAGAAAGAAAGCATGTCATATGACGTGACATGACATGAATTGACAACAATGGACTAGGGCTTGTTAATGTTTGTGAATGTCCGCGAATTCCAACCCCATAAGGATCGATATTGGAATGAATATTGTTTCACAATACATATGTGTATTACTCGTAGCATGCAGTTGTAGATTATTCACCTGGGCAGGCCGGCCTCACAAACATTTCAATTGTCATATATAATTTTTTTCATTCTCATTCTACGTAGTGCAATACATATACATAGTTTCTTTCTGCAATTTGTATAAAAATCTTGCTTTATATATAAAAAGAACAATATTGTGTACTAGTAATTATTGAGAGTAATATAAATCTAAAAATCATTCAAGTATTTTTTTTTTTTTTAATTTTTAATTTTTAATTTCACTGAATGAGCTAGTGAGTACTCGCTCAGTCCAGTCAAAAAGCATGTATCTTTTGTTGGCCTAAAAAGACATACAAAGAGCACCAAATAATTTAGTTTTAAGTGAATAACAACAAATAATTTGAATGCAAAGTGTTCTGCAATGTTAGAAAAGGAGGGTTTGAATGCAAGAAAGGAATATATGTAGTTTAGATACAGTACGTTCCTTAGAACAAAGTGCACTCTCCATCCATTCCCTTTCTCTGATCATCTCATCTGAAAACGGTTTAACTTGTTCAAAAAAGGATATACATGTATATATATATATATATATAACTGTAAAAGGCACCATGTAATGTGATGGGTGGGTGTTGAAGTGAAAGTTAAGGCACCCATGACCCATCTGTGTTTGAATCAGCCTAGAACTTAGCTTGCACATAAATATACATATATATAAATATATTTACTTTTGCTTAAAGTAAAGCACTCTACAATAAAGCAATATTAAAAGCAAAATGTGGCATTATCTACTCAAAAGGGCCGCTCATTTTATGCTTTTGAGTCTTCAAATAAGCATCTTTGGTTTATACGTGGCCACGTGGGTGAAAGCAATATCTAAGGGGGAACAAAACTCACAGACTTACATATATATATATATATATATATATATGTGTGTTCGTGTTTGTGTGTGTCTATATATATATATATAGAGAGAGAGAGAGAGAGAGAGATCAATAGTATTTGGCTGGCCGGCCAAACTTTAAAAGTTGCATTGTGAAAAAGTTGCTCTAATTTTGACATGACAGCCTTGTTAATGTAAAGGTGATGGAATTACCAAACACTCCTTTTTCCAAAAGTTGTCCATTATTTAATGTTTTGCATTCATTTGCGGTAAGCAATCTTATGATCAGCAACCTAAAAAGCCAGCATCATCGTAATATAAAATAATAAATAATTTAATATTGGTTCATATCCTATGCCATGAATTGCGTGAATATGGCGATTTATGCTTTTCCTTATTGTACAACTAGTACAGTTCCAACGAGAGGAACTTTCCCTGCATATCTTACACTTAGCTGTAGCTAGAGTTGTTCTTGGGGCAGGTTGGAGGTTTAGTTTGAGCCCAATTCCACAAATAAAATATTTAATTAAAGTTTAATACTAATCTTATTTTTAATCTTAACTACTCAACACAAGTTCAACTCATCCTTTTAATTTCAAATTTGGACTTAGATTTCGACTTCAAAAGTTGGGTTAATTCAAGTTACCCATATGGTCAATTTGATTAAATTACTATTTAAAAAAAAAAAGTTTTAAAAACTTATTACAATTTTTTAATAAATTACTAATAAATGCTTATAAAATTAATTCTATTATGCCAATATACAATAAATTAAGATTTAACAAAAGAGGTTGAAAAGAAAAAAAGTTGATCATAATTTGAAGAGTATATATAATGTATTTAAAGTTAAAATATGTATATATAAATAATATTAGAATTTGGATCCGGGTTTGCTCGGATTGCTAGCACCTCAACCCAAACCCAACTCTAACTAAGTTCGGGTTGAAATTTTTCAACCCAAATCCGACCCTAATTATAAAAATGATTGTCCAAGCCCGCAAAAATTGCAGCCCAATATTGGAGCCACTATTTTATCATACTTGGGGCCACCATCAATAACAATAATAATTAGGTAAATTTATTTTATATCAAAACAATAAATAATAAATTTTAATATTTCAATTCAATATATTTATAACTGTAATAAAATTTATATTTTATCTCTATGATAAATCTTTTGATTAATGCCATTTTGAATTTTTTTTCAAACAACATATTGATGTTAATGAAAACTTACTCATTTTTTCCTCTCTTTTTTTCAAAATTAAAAATCTTACTTTGCAAAAATTTGCCTAAAAAAAAGAGGATTAGGGTTTCTTAGATATTGACTTGATTAATTTTTTTAGTTCTTCGACCTGCTGTTGCTGTTACTTTCAAAAGATATCAATATATGTATACTTAACATACTAAGATGTCTTCCATTATTGATATCAAATCAATAACAATTTATAGAAGCTAAATCTTCTAATTGATAATTGGACAAAACAAAGAATTTTAATTTAATTAAATCATTTTTATTTCCATCAAGATGTGATGAAAATAGAGGAGATGAAATTGGTATGGGTCGCGAGGATGAGGAACATAAGAGTAAAATTGACATTAGGATAAGATTGGGAAGCCCAATGCTAGCTATCTATACATTTTTAAACAATTTTGGATAATAATGATATACATGTACTAATAAGAATAAGAAAAATATGTGTGGCTCTGCCAGAGACACTATACTTAATTAATTAAAGAGAAAGATACACATCACCCATTTATTCCTTAATTTGTATCCCGAATCCAAAAATGAAACTCCTTTTTTTTTTCTTTTCTTTTTCTTTTTCCTTTTTTTTTTTGGGGGGATCCTTATTTTTTGGGGGTATCCTTAAGAATTCGTCCATCTTCATTTTCCTTAACAGAGTTAGTTATTCCTCATGAGATATAAAACTATTCTTCAGTACTGGATAAAAAATTAAATAGTTAGGTTTAATATTAAAAATAATAATAATAAGTTAATTACCAGTTATGTTACCACTATAAATTCATTTTTCTTCTAGTAAAATGATAAAGGCAGTGTAAAATTTCTAAGAAAACTAGTAAGTGAATATATATATATATATATATATATATATATATATATATATATACTCACTTTTAATTGTAGCCTTAGGATCTAATCCTAGGTCAATTAGTTAATTGATTTTTATTTTCTTTATTTTAAAAAAATTTCGTTTTCTTTCCATATCATTAAATATCGTTAAAGAAAAATAACAGAATTAGACAATTTATTAAAGAAAACAAGAATAAAATAATTTGGCTATTTTTTGGCAAATTCACAAGCAGCCACTGAGACGAAGTATAATTAATTTAAAATTAAAAATCCATCATTTTTAGTTTTTTTCCACACTTCATCAATTCTATTGATAAATTATGAAAATACTTGGAATTTGCAATCATATTATACATATTTTGGTATGCTTTTACCGATCAACACTTTGAACATTTAATTTACCAAAAAAATAAAAAAAACACCAAGAACATTTAGATAAGTATATAATAATATATTAAGAGTTGTTTTGCTTGATCCTCCTAAAAAAATTATGAAGCCAATAGTAGTCTCCTAATTCTAAATTAATTACTGAACAAATTCAAAATATTTTATTAAGCTGAATATAAAATATGAATCAATCTTGAAATTTGAATTTTGATTATAATCTATACTGCTCAAGCAATCTTTATTTGGTGGCCATTTTATTTATCTCTTTTGATTAATTTTATTTTATTTTTGTTACTTCAACCCGTAATGATGGGAAAGTGTTTTTTTTACTAGACACAAAAAAGTAGCCAAATTATTTTATTTTTGTCTCCTTTAATAAATTGTCTAATTATGTAATTTTTCTTTAATGGTTTGGAAAGAAAATATAAATTTCTTAAAATGAAGAAAATAAAAGTCAATTAACTAATTGCCGTAGGATTAAATTCTAAGGTTACAATTAAAAGTGAGTATAAAATTTCTTAGTCCTAGGGAGCAATTGAACACTACTATATATATAAATTGGCCGTGTTTCTAACAAAATTGACTGTGTTTCTTTACATCGTCAGTCTCTTGCCTGGATAAAGGAGGAGTGGGAGTGAGTAAATAATGTGTTTTAGCTAACTATTTCCACTAGTACACTTCCAAACAGGACTCATTCCAAATATTCAATACTAAACATGACCACTTCCATACAGAATATAAAATGCCTAAAGAAAATAATATTTGAAGAATAAACTATGATGCTCTTGGACTAATTATTGCACTGGATGATCTGTGCTGGCAAACACCCATTATTGATCTTCAGATCCGCCGCTTTACGCATTACTCAAAAATTACGTAGAACACACCCACAAATACATATATACTCCTGCGTGTGTACACATATACATATATATATATATATAGAGAGAGAGAGAGAGAGAGAGATTCAAACTGCTGTTAGCCTACCTTAAAACTTCTTGAATAAATGCTTCACTTCCTTGATTATCGGGCATATTTCGAGAACTGCCTTGAAGTAGTGCAGAAAGCAAGCTTTCCACAGATGATCTCTGCTTACTAATTTCCTCTAGTATCAGCAATCGAGCAACCTCACAAGCCTCCGTACTTGGAAAACCAAGTGTCCATCTACCATCTGCCAGGTGATCTGAAGTACTTGAATGATGGCCTCCAGTTTTGTTTGTATCAAACCTTGGGTCGAATTCTCTTATCTGAAGATGCAACCAAGTGGGATGACTCTCATCTACCTTTGGCTGTGTCAGAATAACATAACAGTTCATGTCAAGGTCAGGCCAATTATAAGGTCCCAACACCAAAAGTATATCAGCGAGATCAAAATGTGCCATTTTTTGCTGCATTTCTAAACTAATAATCTTTTAAGAAGAGCTTCTAAATTTTCATACTGCTTCAGCATTCCTCCAACTTTAATCATCATGATTTATGAAAATGCTAAGCTCAATTTAGCCAACTCTATCTTAAACTCTAATTATGCCACCTTTAGCCATTCACAAATGTGTCTATTCCTCACTCTTTATCATTTCATGCCTTCCCACTCGTACATCCCTAATGCATTCATACTAGCTATACTCAACATATAATTATAAGCTTGTTTCTCGACTACTTAACATTATATCATGTATAATTTCCCTCCCAAGAAGCATATGCACTTCTAAGGAAGGACCATATGAATGTCTGATATGTTAGAAACCAAAAAATATACTGTAAGAAACTAAACATGTTAGAAAAGAAAACCTTTAATTTTGCATATATGACCCACACTCACCAAAGAGTCTTGGTAGTGGGACATAAGTACCTTTGAGCATGGAAAAAAATGATTATAAGAAAAATCAAACAAAATATTTAAATATAATGTGCAGAATCTCTCCTCATATTTTTCAAAGAGAACATATGAAGGTTTTATCAAATGAGTGGACAAGGGAGTAAGATAGGAGTCGCTATATATCTATGTTTTTATGTTTTTACTACTTATCAAAAAATATATATATAATGTGTGTGTTTTTACACACACATATAAATACATATAGAGATACACATATAGGTCATACCTTGCTTTGTCTTTGTGCATGTGAGTAGGGTGACTACTAATTATTATAATCCATAAGCAAAATATTTCATGTTAGAACCATAAAATATCAAAATTATTGAGTCACAAAGTAATGTTAGAAAAGGTTATATAGTTTTGTATGTCAAGATATATTTCTTTGTATTGTATTCTGATCTGATGCGTTCAAGTCCTACTAATTAAGGACCAGCTGCACTGGCATGTCTATCTCGTCCCAATTCATGCTTCATATTTACAACTTCATTCTAAAGTTCCCCTTTAATTAGAATAGTGAAAATAGTGAACAAAACTTATGCAACACAAAGAATTCAAAATGATAAATTAAATACATAAGGCAAAATAAATTTATTACAGAAATGACATGTGCGGAGGCCACATTATTTCATTAAATACAAAAGATGGTACTTGACAGAACGCTAGAACTTCTACACTTCTTGCTATATGCAATGTGTTTACATGTTCATATATGTGTGTGCTGATATACGTATGTAAGCATTCAGTTTATTTTTATAAAAAGCTCAAATAGTTAACCACAACACTTTCAAAAAGAATGCATTTTAAAGGAACAGTTCTGTTTGGATGGGAATTTAAAACAAATTTTAATTATCACATAAATTGATAATACTTTGAATATTTTGATGACAAATCTTGTTTGGTTATTAATAGGAGGAGCATCTTATAATGAATATTCAGATTTTTGACTCTTTAAGTATGACTGTTTAAATATTAATCAGCCTACTTATAACATTCGATCACTTGAGCAATAAATTAATTGCTCAAGTGATTATGAGATCAAAGCATTATCCAGTACTAGTCTCACCTCTGGAGGGTGTTTGGGAGAGAATATTGGAGACAGAATATAATGTTACCAATTTTTCCCATTTTCCATTTTTTGGAATTTTCTGATTTTGCGAGGGCATTTTCGTCTTTTCTCATTTTGCGTGCCGGACACCGTGGAGTGTGCCGGGTGTGTCCGAGAGTTGGTTGGGGCATTCCATTAAGTTCAGGACTACTGGAAATGCATCGGTTGCCATTTCGACATTTTTTTCATTTTTAGGGTCGGGCGGTCCTGGGGGGGACCGTTATCGGAATTGTCGAGTACGGGGGTTTTGGTTGGGTCCATTTCATTTATTTTTATTTATTGTGTTTTATGTGGTGGTGGTATGGTTAATATGTATATATGATTTTTGTGGTTGAAATTAAAAGTCAAAAAGGTAAAAAGATTTTTTTAAAGTACTCCTTTAGTGGGTATAAGGCCATTTTGGCCTCATTTTTTTTCTTCTCCCGGCTGTATCTCTCTCTCACTCTCTTCTTCACATTTTTTTCTTTTCTTTTTCCTTCAAACTTAAAAGTTTGATTAATCTCCAACCAATTGGAGATTTATGGTGCCGTTTACGACAAAACGGAGAGATCGGCGAGATCTACGCATTGATGTAAGCTATTCATCATTTGGTGCACCCTAGGAATTTCGAACCTAGGGCTTGGATTTGGGGCGTTTTGCATCTTTGTGAGGTAGGGATATTTAATTAACGACTTCTTGGATTTTTGTGAGTTACCTTGTGTAAATTGTTGCCTAACATGCTTTAATTGTGTTAATTCCTTTAAAGTGACTAAATTGTTGTATGTGGAGCATATGTTTATGTGAATTAGTTTGTATTGTGTGAGAAAGCATGCTAAAATGTTTATATTTCATGCCAATTATGTTACATGAGTTGTAACTTGGAAGCATGATATACAATGTTGGAGATTTTCTACAAAGCATGTATATTGTGGATATTTGATTTGCATGGAATGAGATTCCTTGTTGGCATGACATTTAAATGTAGAAACCACTCATGCACTCATCGGGAAGGAAAGGGGAAAATTGGCTTTGAAAGAAATAAAAAGAGGATTTTGAGAAATGACTTTGGAAATGGGGAGAGACATACATCGCATTGCATCCCATTTCACGGCATGTTCATTCTTGACTTGGGTTGTTGATATTGATATTATGGTTATTTTCTCCCCGGCATGATATGATCCCAATTTCTGTATTTCTATTCGTTATGTGGATTCACGGGGTCTCACGAGGTATGCCTTAGGCACCTCCTACTAAGCTTTTAGCTCACCCCATTATTTAACATTTTTCAGGTCACGAGACTGAGTTGGTGGGGGTTGATCTTCCACGAGCATGGATGGGGTTGGAAAGGAATTTTCCTTGCATCACATTGTATTTTGATGTATATTTTGTAAAGTTTCAATTTGTAATATAATTATGAGTTTCCGACTCTATTTTGATGTAAATTGGATTATTTGTAAAACTGTGTTGATATTTTATTCGAATGGGACTATAAATCTTGCATTGTATCAAATTGTCGATGTTTCATAACTATGGTATGTGGAAGGTCATTTTACAATGTGTTTGGGACAGATTTAGAGTACCTTTGTAGTCCTTACCAATGTTTCCCTCAGTTTTGAATTTCTCCAGAGTTCGCAGAGCCATTTCGATCGACCGAAATGGGTACTTCGGTCGACCGATCCTTTTGATCGTCTTGGGACCTTGCATTTCGGCCGACCGAAACCTTATTTCGGTTGACCGGTTCAAGGGGGTCTACTTTGGCCAACCGAAGCATCACTTTGGTCGACCGAACTGATGCTGCTTGGCTTTTTCTTGTTCCTTGTTCCGGCATAATTCATCTTGAAGCTGTGGAAAGTTGTTTAGAGCCTTGTGAAGCATAAATATGACCTATGAATGACGTTTTTGACCCTAGACATGACGGGAGTGACTTAGGTGTCCTCGGGTTCAGGTAAGGACCCGGTTAACGGTTCGGACCCACGGGCTCGGGTCGTTACACAGAAAACCTTTGAACTTATTTTGCATGACATGTCCGCTCTCATAGTTCTCATGCTTACCAACTAAAAAAAAAATTCGTAGTTTCAATCCCAGCCCTCTTCTTTTCTCCTTTATTTTCTACCAAAACCAGCTCTACAGTCAATAACTATCTCCTTTTTGCAGATTAGATACATGTAACAATTATGACCTTCTAAAGTTACTAAAGGTACATATAATTTATTTAACATGCATACACTGCTTACTTTTATATTAAAATTTATAAGTAAAAATTATTCAAGTTGTAGTTGCAGATTTTGCCACAAGTCTGTGATGAAGGATAAAACTGAAAGCCAAACATAGATAGTTAAAATTTAAAGTGAGACCAACTTCAAATACGTCTACATTGAAAACTAAAAATTATCATAGCTACCTTGAACAGAAAAAAATGTGGAACAGTTATAGAACTTACACTCAACCCAGCCAACGGAGCAATAGCAATTACAATTCCTCGCTTAGAGTGCAAGGGATGTTTCTCCACTAGAAGCAACTTTCCAGATATTCCCCTCGCCACTGGTATCATATAGATATCCCTTATCCCAACTTTGGAAAAAGCAATTTTGCAAGGGATTCCAGAACCTAAAAGAATTTAATGAAGTGATAAAAAATAAAAATATATAAATAAGGAAAATTGATCATAAAGCATGGATGGTTGATGGAGACTTCACAGGACAGATACTAACCTAAAGGTACCTCTGACCCAAAACTTGCAGATGAAAGATCTGAAGCATATGTTCTTCCCGAAATAGCCAAAGAACTGCTTTTCAAGTTTATCATGGGATTTTCAAAAGGATCACCGTTAAAAAAAAATGCCTTCAGCTGAAGATGGAGAACAAAAACCTAAAAATATGCAACTATTATGAGAACTCCACTATACAAATAAATATTATTATGATATGAAGAATGCTCAGAGATGAATAAAATACAGGGAAAATGGATACATGCAGCAGATAAAATTTTGTACACTCAAGTCAAACTAACCCATCCATGGGAGAAAAAAAAAAAAAAAAAAAAAAAAAAAAGAAAAATCAAACCAGAAGCAAATGTTCCCAAACATTGCAGCAAACTTTTGTATTAGAAAAGAAAATACTTTTGGCAAGTCCAAAAGAGGAACATATTTTGTAAAATATAATAACAAAATCACACAAATGAAGGTAAGAAATGAAAAAGAAGAAAAGAAAGATAGGAAAAAAAAGTTCAGTTTGCAAATGTGGAGGGAAAAAAACCACAATAACATTAGACAAGTATCTCAATTATTAAGTAAGATGCGACAGAGAGAATATATGTAGTATAAGATGTAACAGAATTTAATCTAAGAATTTGATGTATCCGCGTATATTATGTTTTATGGTAACAGTTTGAAGTTTGAACATGACTATACATGACATGCTTTGAAATATTATACAACACACCGCAACACATTTCTTTATCGTTGTGTTTCTTCTTGCTTTTATGATGCACACTACTAGAAGTCTGACCACCACTAATGTGTATCAAAGCAATGACATGGGTATACCTCTGTGGCTATGATATTTATCCATTTCAATGACTTAATGCAAAATCTCCAAACCTAAGCCTTTACGACACTCCAATTTTAACATTTTTTGCCATGTGGACAATATTTGGGACTTTGGGCACCGATACTACTGTAGTTCATACTTGTTTGAAGAGTCCTCTTAGATACTCAAACCCATGTTGAACTGCTGTGCCATTTCAGTTTCTTTGTTTAATAGTTTAGAATCATGCTTAATAAATAACACATTCTCCTAAAGAATAAATAAGATTAAATTTAATAAAAGAATGATATAAACCTTGACTGCATTGACCATGCTTTGACAAGCAAGAGCAGAAGTCGTTACGCCTGAAATGAGCAAATAATATCTCTTAATTGTCAAATATAGTGAGGCGCAACAGTCATTTATACGTGCCATGCAGGAAAAGGAATTAAATGGCAAAGGCAAACTAATCATTTATAACAAAAACAAATTACCAGTATGAGTGTGTTGGTGGCAAGCAAGCTCTAATGCAAAAAAAGGATCCTTAGACTGGGACGGTTCCTCCAAAGCTACAATTTAACATAAAAAAGGAAGTAATGTGTGTCATAGGAATTGCCTCACATGGCACATAAACCCTACTCTATAATTTTAACAATACACAAAGAAGTAAAAACAACTACCACTCATAGAGGCTACGTTACATGGGCTCTTCAGAAGTAAGTGAAGTACCCATGTCGGACACACAATACTCAAACATGGGTATGGGATATGTGTCCGACTCTTTTGGTAGGACATGCAGCTTAAAAACATATCCAATATTTCAATTTTGTTATATTATTGCTTTAAAATGAGTGAAATGCCTATATTGAACACAATGTTGCATAAAGAAATTATTTTTCTCTAGAAAATAAATTAAATAATATGATCATTTAGCAGAGTCCATGTGTCCTGTTTGGAAATGTGACACGACCAACGCTTGAATTCATACCTGCAACCAAAACATGTACCCAAGTCCATGTAACATAGCCTAGAGGTACCCTTTTAGGTTCTAACCCCGTCCAGCCCTACAAAGAGGGATGTTCTATCACCTTACTGACAAGCCATTAGAGGTCCAACCTGAATATTGTGAACAAAATAGTATATACCTGTTTTATAACTTGCCCATTCATTTCTCAGAGTATCTGGTATATGATCAAAGCAGCACCCGTTAAGTTCTTTCCGAAGGATTTCACAGGACTGCTCATACGATGTCTGTCAACGGGAACTAGGAAAAATATAACTTTAGAAAGTTGGAGGGAAAAAAATTATGTAATTTCAATAGATGCTTTATTTCAAAGCAGGAGTTATTATTCCTTGTTTACTTCAGAATGTAAATAAATATCAATATCAATAGCGAGTTGGATCATGCCTCTATCTTGTATTTCCCACCATTAATGGTTTTGTAACATAAATAGGTGGCTATTGTTTTAACATAGCCTCTTTCTCCTACAAATGCAAGAGAATACCATCAAAAAGTGTAAAAGGTGATCGATGGCCTTCTTAAAGAGGTCATTATTGGAGGGCTACGCCACTTTGTATCTGGTGGTGTATTTGGCTTGAAAGAAATAGGAGATATTTTGATGGAAAAAAGAAGCATGTTTCTATGCTTAAGTTCTCTGTTATTTCTACTCTTTTTTGTTGGGTTTCAGGGAGAGATTATAGATCTATGGAGGAAATTATTGTTTCCTTGGCCTCTCTGAAGGTCTAAGGCACCCTTTGGCCCTTTTGTTTCTTTGGGCTTCACTCCCCTTTTGAGCGTTTTTAATAAATTCTTACTTATCAAAAAAAAAAAAAAAGAGGTCATTATTGTTTTAAGCTAGTCTCTGGAACCTCCAAATGCAACAGCAAATGCAGTCATTATTCATTGTTTTTTCATTTTTTACAGGATAAGCCAGCATTGGAACCAACTAAGCAAGCAGTAAGCAAAGGAAGATTGGATATCAGACAAGATCATGTTGAATAAAAAAGGCAATAACCGTTCCTTCTACGAATGTGGCATATTTAAAGGGATGGACTAGAAACAATCCTAATCTTTGACATTAATCACACAAAGTGGTTGCTTTCCAACCTGAACCATTCACGCTTAATCATTGATTTTTTTTGTACAACGATAAGAACAATCAAGTTGTTTTCACATCACAACCAAATTTTAACATTAGGGGAAAAATATTATCAGGTAAAGTGCATTTATCAACATTACGCTATACCCTGTGGTAGGTATTGAATGTTGAATTTAACTAGTAAAATCACAAAAAATAGAAGCAAGCATGAGGTCACAGCCGACTTAAGCATGAAAGTAATTTGAAATGCCAGAAAACATATCTTGACCAGCATTTTAGATCACAAACTATAATAAGATGTTTGCCTATCATGGTTGAAGTGATCAATAATATTTCCTTGATTCTTTTGGAGAAGGCTGCCCAGGATGGATACGCTACTAGATATTTCTAGACTACTGAAGAAGGTTGTTCCATTTGGGTTCACTACTAATGATTTTTCTTCCCATGATCACATAGAAGGTTGCCAAACATTATTTAAACACTGCTTAGTGCTTACTGCACAGCTTCCACTCTGTAGGGACAGAAGAACCTTCCAAGAGCTTAAGTATTTGAGATAGATAATAACAACGCAAAACAATGGCAAGGTCGTTACTCTAAATGTGGCAAAATAAGTATGTTACTAATGCATCTCCATAACAGCAAAAGTAGACCTTGATAAAGAAAGAAGTATTTTGACATCATTACACTGTGCATCTTTCCCACGCTGGCAATTTTAACAGATTTCACTTTTTCACTTGGAGCATTCTTTCTGCCTTGTCCATACTTTTGTTAATTGCTTTTATTTAAGCCTTTTTTTCGCCCTTTCTCACATTTTTCTCTCTATTTTTTGGTAGGTAAATCACACCCCCAGACTCGTACCATCAACCTTCCATTTGGAAGGAGCATACCACTCGGGCTAAGCCCTTGGTGGTATAACATTTTTCTCTTTTCTGAAAGAACCTCTTCCTCATGTTTGTATCTTTTCTTTTTTCCCTTCATCAATTAAATTTTCACCAATTAAAAAACATAAAAACGCCATTACCGAGTATGGTCCCCATTTGCATTGCTGAAGTCAATTCTCTACTGCAAACTCCTCTCTGCACTTCAGAGTGGTGGGGATTCTGTTCCTAGTTCCTGCAAGCTATCCTTCCCACTCAACCACAGTTACCACATTACTTCTCTTCCCATTTGATTATCAATTATATACTCAAACCTTCATCCATGGAGAAACAAAATCTACTTTAACTTGAAATAGAGTGAATATATTATCTTTACTTTCTCCATTCTCCAATTTCTCATGCCTTAGTCCATCATAAACTCCATGGTCTTCACCTCATCTCTTTCCAACAACATCAGCATTTGTTTCTAACACCAGAAGAGTTTGTTTTCTCAATCAGTTGCTAACATTTGATCATAGAACCTAAAGGTAGGGACTTATCCATCAAACTCAATTATAACATCATCAAATGGTCACTAATCCAGTCCATCATTTCTCATCCATTTATAGATTCCCACTGTTATTATTTCCAATTACTGAACCAGTGAACTTATTTGGCCATTAGTGCTTTAAGACACTTGCTCTGGTAACTTACATTCAATAATGAGGCCTAGTTACAGAGTGTTCAAAACTTATAATCTAGAACATCTATCTTCATCATACTCTCAGGAAAGCAAGACATTATCAACTGTTAAAAAACACTGCCTACCTAATATAAATCTCAATACCCTTGTAATCATAGCCTGAAGTAGTTTATTTCTTAAGACATTTTGACAGAATCTTACCTTCCTTCTCAAAAGTTTTAACAAGGCCATATTAAAATCAATGGATGACACTTGATGGCACACACAAATGAAGAAACTATTAGATTTAGATAGTTCACAAACTCAACTTATTGGTTCACAAACAATACTCTATACTAGAACTAAAGCAGATTGCCGAATTTTTTACATTCAGTTGCTGATTCATAGAGTCAAGCAGACCTGGTCTCCTAGTAATCATGGTACAGACTATGCACAACCTAGGAACAATTGAAGGAATGAAAAGCTCAGATATTATTAGCTACAAGATAAGAAATATGAGAATCATCATCCTTTTCTTTAAGTATGGGGACTTCTGAAGCAATAGTGATTCCAGAATGCATGTAAAATAATGTATATGTAATGTATTCATAAATATTTCTAAATCAGTTGAACCTTTACATTGAAAAGGTGAAAATCAGGACCATTAAGCTTCTTGTCCTGAAAAACCAGTAGCTTCCGCAAGAACCACCCTGTATGCTGTTGCACTAATACTGAGACGGATGGTTTTCTTTCTAACACTTCCAGTAGTGCATTTAAAATCTGCAAAATGGCAAAAGAAATTCATCACAACATTGATCGCTGAAATTAAAACCAGGATAGATGTGGTTAAAATTTGAAGGAAAGCAAGATTTGTATTCCAAAATCAAAAACTGTACGAGTCAAGACATAAATATAATAATCAAACAAGGTGACAATGACAAAGCTATTAAGAAAGAATAATCCCATGGTACATATACCTCATGCAAATGTCTCCCAAAAATACTTTCATCCTCCTCCTTTGAAGCTGAGAAATCATATGTCTGCAAATTGAAGATATCAACAAGGTCAGATCAATAAAGAATCAATGATAGAAACTCCAAAATTATTATTTTAAAACCATGAAGGAATATATGAATCTTCAAATACAGATATGACTCAAGTGGAACCTTACAAGAATGCAAGAACAAATCAAAGAATTGCAGAAACACAATGTCAACAAATCATTGTCAAGCATCCAACACATAACATTCATTCCTGAGAGTAACTTGCATTACATCCCAATGCTTAAATATTCTCATGCATGTGAGACTTCAGAATTATTATGTTTCGATACTTCTGGTTTGATGTCAATATTTGTGGAGTGCCAAATAGGAAAAGGAAGTAAATCTTATATCCAGTAATAATTGTGGGGCCTTGATCAAAAACATTATATTTGGGATAATATTGGAACTAATGAGCACCTTCACCTTCTGCACCCTGGTTTTTGTTTGGGTTAGTCCTATCATTGCGGCAAGTTGATAATCGAGATCTGCACATAAGCAAACAAAAAACAAACAATACTAAAAATATATTGGGAAATTATATCTACAACCTTAACATATTTGAAAAGAAAAATACCTGTATTTTCAGCTACAACAAGCAATAACATGAGAGATGCTAGCATTAGACTGTTATTCTCAGAGAAAATGTATGAAAGTATTCCACTCCTGCAGAGGAAAGAGATTTCCAGATTAGTTTATTGCACCCAGTAATCCTCATCATTCCATGACAAAAACAAAGGCAAAAAGGTATCGGGCATGAAAAATTGTGGTGCTTTGATATCCAAAGTACGCTAACAGCTTCAGTTTCATAACGTGAGAAGTTATAAGCAGCCCTCCGGATATGCAGGTGAGACAAGTGGGGCATTACTATTGTCCTCTAGAGAACCATGAGTGTAGCCAGAAAATGTCTCATTTCCAGGATGACTAATGGGAAGTGTTGTTCAAAAAACCATCAAGTATGGGCTCAATCAATTTTGGTCATGAATATACTGCTGTGTTGGGTTGGTGGACTTCTGAAATCTTCCAACAGAAACCCTACAATGGCATCACACAAAAAGAAAAGGGCGAACCCAGTGCCCAAGCTCCCGCCATTGCAGGGTCTGGGGCTCCACATACGGAGAGGCTATTTCCTTGTTTCGAACCCGTGACCTCCACGTCACAATGAAGCACCCTTACCATTGCGCCAAGGCTCACCCTCGTCACCTTGCACAAATTCTCAAGCCATAATAAAACTGACTCAAAAAATATAAAAAAAAAATAAAAATTGGCACTGGAGTCTCGAAAACAGATCAACCGTTTCTCGTTCTTTTTAAATCCTTGTCTAAAATCAATAAACAAGAATTGTAAAATTTGAAACTGTAACACTCACCAACCTTTCTTTATGTATAACATCAGAACAGAAGCTGACCAAATGAGATTTAGATGGCATGTAGTTTGATAAATGCCCAAGGAGATTGTTCCTTCTAAAGTTTTCCGCAGATTCAGACTCAGAAGACAGCATTTTATCCATTTCATGCAAATTATTGGCAAAAGAGTTTGCTTGATTAATGCAATCAGTTTTTGATCCTTCAGTAGCATCTCTCATGCTTGATGATATGTAGGGATATAGAACAGCACTAGCCACAAAGTTAACCATATGTTTTCCACCAATAACTTGAAGAAGACGAGAAACTATATACAGAGAAGTGATTGGAGATAGACATGTTTCCTGAAAGAGGAAACGAAATGTAAAATCAGAAGTGATTGCAGATAGACATGTTTACTGAAAGAGGAAACGAAATGTAAAATCTCATTTCTTATTATAGACTTTAAAAATCAAATTCACCTCTAACTCATGTGATTAATGGAGTCTTAAATTTAAGAGTCTGTTCAGTTAGCTGCTAGGAAATTCATTCTCAAGTCACGTGATAGAATTTTCAAACAGTAAGGACGTCTTAGACCCAAATCATAAAGGTATTTTCTTCCACATAAATGAATTTATAGTTATAAGTGCGTTATGATTTGAAGGCATGTCATGAATTGTGCAAACAGTGTGCAAACAAAACAGTATAGAATTTCAGGATGTATGAGTGGAGAATCATTTTATACTTTCAGCTGGAGAATAATGTCCTATATCACTGCTTATCATTTTATGAACAGACACAATAATGCAACCCCAACTATTCCACCCTAGTGGTGGGATAGTTAAAACCTGCAAACAAAAACTAGCTCTTGTATTTCCCTAGACCATAAAATTATTGAAACCATTTTACTGATACTTCAATCATGAAGGAAAGTTCTTCTGCGATTCTTGACATGAAAGCCAAAAGAAACCCAATGTGTGTCTCAACGATTACAGATTTTATGGTTGATCCTAAAGAAAAAATAGATCGCTGTGGTTAAAATATTTGCTTTGTTTGAAATATTGACAATTATGCTAAAAAAAGAAAGAAAAGAAAAAAGAACTATCAAGATGAAGAGCATCTTACACTACTCTGGCTTAAATGCATAAATGGAAGCAATATGGGGCAAACCAATAAGCTGAGAAGATTTTGCGTAACCACGTTGCTCAAACAAGAGTCACCAACACAAAGTATGTCCTTAAAATAGTAGAGATCGTCTAAAATTTTATCAGTTTCCAGAAGAAGTTCGTTTCTCCTTTCTTGAATGCAAGTCACCCTGCATCAAAGTAACCAATTTTACCAAAAATAAATAAAGAGATGCTAATGTATATGACCACAAGAGTACACAATTTAGTAAAGTTACAAGATTCTTTATATCAAACTTAAACAAACTCACTTTGTAGCGTGGACAAGATCATCTAGATGGAAGCACTGCTTTCTTAAGCTCAGAACCAAGTCTGAGAAATATGCTGACGCTGGAGAAGATGTTACAAACTGATGAACCATGTCATCGCTAACTGCATAATCAGAAGGATACCATTGTAAGATGTCAAGAACTGAATTTTGTGCTTGATAATTCATATATCGGAGTGTCTTGAGAATGGCTACAAAGGATCATATAGTAATACCATTATATATGTTAAGAGTCAATGCGCGTATAGCTGTCTGAATCATCTTTTCTCCATGGTGAGCAAATTTAAGAGCCTCGGTATACAGTGGAAATGAGACCACAACATCCTGTTAATATAATACATGATAATAAAATAAATAAATAATAATAATAATAAAGGAAGAAGAAATTGTGACTATGTCCAAACCTCTAGGAAATAAGTACGATAAGAATTAAGAACTCAAAACAGAACCAGCAAGCACAAGGGCCCACTCATATACACTATTATGTATTTTATGACAATTAATTTTTCAGATTCCCTCATAAAATCTAGCAATCCTGCTATAGGATAGAGGCCCTATACATCCTTTAATCATCATCAAAGCAAAGCCAGAAGCACTAATGTTACTTCAGGTCGTATCAGTAGGTGAAAAATAAGTAACCAGATATATTTATGACTTCGATAGATAGTCACTCACTTGCAGCAACTCAAAAAAGGATACACTCCTGGCAATTATATACCGACATCACCCTGGAAATCTAAATTAATTATCTCACAAACAAATGCAAGCTTTGAATTTACCTCATGAACCTTCACAAGAAGACAAAGAGTGTCTCTATTTATTTTGCCGCTCACTGCTCTGATTCGAAATTGAGAAAAACAAGGTGATTGGAATTAATCAGAAAACAGCAATTCAAGAAAATTAGCTGAGAGATAAACTGTAATGTAAATTGTCAGGTTGACGTCATTTTTTTATTAAAAGCACACAGCAGCATTCCAAAGAGCAGGAAGAAAGGAAGAAGGATGGAATCACAACCTTAAAAAAGATACATAATAAGGAGCTAGGTCTCCCCCATCGAATTCGTACTGATGTGTGATTATGCTGTTAATATAGTCATTGCTTAAACAATAGTCTGCAGTGTTCAAATATAAAAAGAAATCAGAAAAGATATGTATAACCAACAGTAGGCAAAGCAAGAAACAAACACTATATTTACTTATGGTCAAATACAGGGCTCTATTTCTGAGGACATTTTACACAAGGCAAGGAAGAAAAGGGAAAGAAAAGGAATATTATGCAACACAGCTAGTAGACAGTGGTCTACATTTTAAAATAATCAAAATCCCTATATTTAAATGGAATGTCATAAAAGAAAAGGGTTGTCATCTATCCCTTAGATGGTAAACTTATCTCTGCTTTTAAATTTGAGTCTTTTCTTCTTCTTCAATCATGTCATGTGAAGGATCAGAGTGTAACACGTATCCTGTACCTATATCCATGTCATGTTGTGTCGTGTCAACACAGGTACGTGAAGGGAAATAGGAGAGTCCATGTAACAGAGCCTTATCTCCCATTCCTCAAAGTGGGCTATGATAAATAGGCTGTGTGCTTATGCTTTCTTCCATATCTGCATACATCGAAAGGGGTATACGCTCCCTCACTTATCCAACTTAGGTTGTGTACAAGGATACCTTTACGTAATTTTTAATGTTGCCGAGGCAATATCCTCAAGTGAAGGACTTGTCTATGGGAAAGAGGTCCTTGAACTATATAAAAGTTGGTTGTTGGAAGAGGTCCTTGTATTAAATATAGTTGGGGTCCCACTTATCAAAAAAAAAATATATTGTTGGGGTCTCAATCGAGATATTGCGCATAGAGATTCTCCAGCAAGGTCTGCCTATAGGTAGACCTTTTTGGAAACTGAATGCTTCTTTAAGGTAACTTGCAACTGAATGCTTCTTTAAGGTAACTTCAACATCAGCTTCTTCAAGGAGGTAATTTGGACAAAATAGATAAGTGTTCCTGGCCAATATAAAATTTAGCCAAATCTTCACATTTCAATTGTTAGTAATCTTTAATATGTGTAAATAAGGAATATAGGAAATTAAAACCCAGAGTTTTAGGATGGTAGTACTTCATGTCTTTGTCTACCTAATTCAAGATATGTAGCCTCGAGGGATGAGTATGGTAGATGTGCAATTTTTATTCAACAGTGGCGTATCAGTTAGTCATGTGCAATGCATAAACAAGGTCCATATCATATGCCAAATGTACTACAGGAAAAATATACCCATACTTGAGATGTTAATTAGCTATCCCAACATCCTTATTTCAGCTACACTATATTTTGACATGTTCTGAACTATTCTAGCACTAGTTACAACTTCAACATCTATGTCCTTGAATCACATAAATATATCTAACTTCATCATCTGTGTCCCAAAACAATAAATATTGTTGCAGGTCTTATTCTTTGATCGTCTTAAGTAAAAAATTTCTTCCATCATAAATCTCGAGCATAAAAACTAAATTGATTTTTAGTGTTATTGTCTCATTTCTTAAATTTTGTTAATCTCTGTTCCAAAGTTTCGTACAACTCATAATTCAATAATACTACAATCTACACAATTTTAAATATCTCCTTTGCTTTGTATAAAGGTATAAGAAAACTTTTCAAACCTCATGCTTCAATAATCCCCTGGACAAAGAGAGAAAATGTGAGCCTTCAAGCAGCTTCGTAGATATTCATAACATGAATGTCATGTAAATTTCCAGCTTATATCTATGTCCTAAAAATTATCAATATTTTACACTAGCAATGCTCCTCTCTCTCTCTCTCTCTCTCTCTCTCTCTCTCTCTCTCTCTCTCTCACACACACACACACTTAGAAGGAGAAATGATAATTTTGACCATTTAAGGAGTTTAACATAAAAATTACTGCACGTAGTGTCTTACAGATGCATCTTTATTATCAATATTTTTATCATTATGCTTAAATACAAAGAAATACTCATTCGCCACACACACACAAAGTGCAATATTTTCATCATTATGTACATGCGGGTATGCACAAACACACACCCACACAAAGTGCAATGCCCTTGCAAACATAAACATATGTACATGCGCGCAAGCGCACATGCATACAGATAGAGAGAGAGGGGACATAATGAGAACATTCAAGGAGTTTACCATCTTATATGCATTTGTCTTACATATTGCATATTCACTATCCATGTTTTGAATCATTATGCTCAGATATTGAAGCAATGGTGCCTCAATTATTGAATTCCTACTTATCTTTAGCACTCGGACAAACTCTGCCAAAACTTGATATTCCATGAAACATCTACAAAACAAACCAATATAAGCATAAAGCTTAGAAAATTATCTGCATACAAACAACCATGAATCACAAAAAAGAAGAAGAAGAAGATGAAGCAACAGTTGCAGCGCAAGAATTCATACTCAAAAATAGATGGATCATGTCTGTCACCGTAAGTAACTATCTCCACAATAGACTGCAGTAAATCAACTACTAATTCCTGAAGAGGAAAATACAAGAAATTTGAATCCGTAAAATAATTTTCACATATCAAACCATTATGGTGAATAAAAATATAAGGAGTATAACTGCAGTACCCTGTTAAGCTTGTCAACAACTTTGATCACCCTCAATTCATTAATTATATATCTGTATCCACAAAAGACCAATAAGTTCTCAACTATAAAGAAATATATAGAGAATAACTAAAGGAAAACAAGAATCTTCACAAATAACAATTGAAGCAGCAATTTAATCACAAATCACAGATGAAATGACTTAATAATTTAAACAAAATGTAAAATCATTATTGAGTTCCAACAAAATAATTTACAGCGAAACTCTGAAACAAGAAGGTAAAGGCATGTGACAAATTTTTATCCATTTCTTTTTTGGATGCACAAGGAGTATCAACCCACATATACTTTCTTATGCATTCTCTAATGAACTAACCACGTTTACTTGAGTGGGTAATTGGTCACATTAAAGATTGAGTTCAACAGCAGATAGTGTTTTGTGTTGACATGTAATGTTATCCCTAACAGATACCATACCATTTGTTCAAAACCATATATACTTCCAGTAATCCAAAAACAATCAACAGGACGGAAAAAAAGGAAATGGAAATTTGACCATGTAATCCATAGACTTCCTCTGACTACCACACCCCCACAATATTCTTTTGAATATTCTCCAGTCTTTTAGCAACCAGAGAAGAAATGGAAATCTGACCATGTAATATGTTAGAATGCTTAATAATTCTCTTTGAATCAAAATGAATCTCCCCCACTTATTTCTACTACTAATATTATTATTATGATTATTATTATTCTTATTATTATTATTATTATTATTATTATTTTGATAAGCACCAATCTCCCCACTTCACAAAAGCTGAAATCTGATTCTCTGAGCAAGCCTTCTTCCAAATCTGGCAATCAATCACCATCTTAAACTGACTACACCTAGTAGGACAAGTGTTGAAACTTTAAACATTACTTATATGAATGGATCCCCTTCTTCAGAGAGTTGAAGCCTAGTCTGTCAGGAAAGTTTGACCAGAGACTGTATTTTATTTAGCATTATTTTGCTAAGGGTAAATTTGATTTCATATTAAAAAATAGTAAATTATTTCCCAAGATTTCAGGAAATTGTTTGGAATCGTCACCTTCTTACAAAAAGGGAATCATATCAATGCTTCCTTCTATATCAATATTTTCATAAAATTACTCCCACGTGTACAACTCTACTTCAAAAGAGTTATTGCATCAAACTCCATTAAAAGTTAGGAGGATAATCAAAAACAAAAACAAAAACAAAAACAAAACAAAACAAAAAATGGTATTATTTATAACCCTAATCCGCTCACTCATTTCAGTTGAGAGGCAACAAAAGTAGTTCAAAGTATGACACAGAAATTGAAACAAATGATGCATTTGTATTTCCCCAAATTAAGATCAACAATTTGTGTATATATATGAAGATAGAGGGGAAAAGAAGTTACTTAAAGTACTGGAGAGAAAAGCGATCGATGGACCGCCAGAGAGTGCGCCACATGGCGAAGAAGTTGATCGATTGTGAGAGTTCCAATTGGAGTCAGAGATGCAAAGCCCTAAGCAGCGATCGATAGTTGAACATTCCTCCGTGTGTTGTGCTTGTGTTTGTGTATGTGTAGGTGTGTGTTGAGAGACAGAGAGAGTTTGGTGTTTGTTTGTTTGTTTGTTGAGCACTTGGAAATAGCCGCGCGCAAGAACAAGGTTTGGCCGTTTGGTGGTATCGTCGTCATTCATTTATAGGGTTGAAGAATCAGCAACCAACTGTCAACGTTAGTTACCACTTTGGACACCTCACCTCCGTCTACCCAGCAAGCACTCGGATATTTACGACACTGCTACAATAACCTACCCAATACGGGTATCTCATTATTATGGTTCCATTTTTCCTTGCTACACTTCTTGTATATTTTGTGGTGGCACACCAATTTTACCACCCTAAAGTAAGTACTATTTTTTATAAATACAGAACAAAATATATTTAGAGATGAGAAGGAACTTAACAGAGTAATGAACTTTCTATTATTTTTTTTTAAGCTCGGTGTGTTAAACTCAACACAATACATGTCTATTTATAGGCAGAATTTCACACCTACTTTACTATTCTTTTCTATCCACTTTCCACGAGCACACAATCCACACATTTATTTCTTCTAACATACCTAACCCATATAATTGGCCCCAAATCTTTAATGCATGGACCCCACATATACTATTACAACACTCCCCCTTTGGTTCCATCATATTACATTAAGAATATATCTCGTTAAAATCTTGCTAAGAAAAAAACCTAGTGGGATAAAAACTTAGGTAAGAAAAAAAAGTACAATATTCTTGTGTGTTAGAAAATGGTATTATATAGGTTAAAATTGCTTCAATAAAACCTTGTTAGGAAAAACCCAGTGGAAAAAACCATAACGAAAGAAAAAGAGTACAATATGACAATACATTTTCAATTCAATTGCTCCCCCTCATTCAACATTAAATACCATTGAGTCGACGCATTCCAATACTATGCACCAGTGTAACACCCCCACATTTTCCACGCATAAGTTGATCAGGCTTATACACGAAAAACGAGGGATATCAAAAACAATTGGCAATATACAAGCATGGAATACAAAATGATGATAATAAAAGAATTTAGACAAGAAAGGAACACTAAATAATACAACATCCATCCATCCTTTATTTAATACAGTACTTCATTACAACTTGGAAATCCTATGTCAAGGATCCCTAAATATAACCCTGAGAGTTCAACATCAAAAGTAAATAAAAACTGAAACTGAAGTAATACATAAAACTTCTACCCTGAACTGGATCGTAAGAGTAGATGAGTTCGGATGGTGGTCCCACACTGCTAACCTCAACCTTGGAACGTGTACTGACCGTATCCTGAAATAACAACAATGGTGGGTCAACCCCACGAGCAAGTCCTCTCTACTATGACCCAAATCAGAGAATCAAATAAATTAATCATTATAAATCGGTTGAGTACTATATCTATATACATCCTAAGGGAACTATCCCATGTATAACATGACCTCAACCAGAATAGACGGTGATCACTTAGACTCACACTAGGTGGTTAAGTGTCGCCTTTCCCTACCCGGGAAATCAGCTATTATACATGGTGCACGGTACTGACAACACAGATTATAACGAACTACACAGTGATAACACCTCTCAAAGTACTGATGAATATACTGAGCATATCAATTAGGCAACACATGCCAACAATATTAATAAATATACCGAGTATGTCAATTAGGCAACACATGCCAATAATATTAAACCACATACCCCGACAGCCACACATCTGTCTATAGCAACGAATGCATAAGGTATAAATGAGTCTAAACTTATTAGCCAGCTCATATGGTTCTATATGGCAACACATCCATATAATATAAATGCGACATAATTAAACAATCCATTTATTTCCTGAAATGCACACAGCATAATAATCATGGTTTATATATCATTTAACAGTATAAACATCCCATAATATCTAATGGCTAATATATATGACGATAACCGTGACATTATTAACAGTACTACTGAATACCATTTAATAAAACAATAACAGCATCTATAATAATGTTGATAAATGAATCACCTTCATATCCGTACAGTAAATGTGTCATTTAAGGTTTAGAAATATTAATCGGCCATAAGAATAAGCAACGGGTATTAAAATAATAATTTCGTGGCCCGTTAAACCCGTAAATACCAACACAGTACCTAAAAATCCACGTTTGAGGTTCTGGAATTTACAAAACAGGCCCTAGGGGTATTCTGGTAATTTCCAGCAGCTGTAGAGAGCCCACACGCGCCCTCACGCGCCTCCCAGAGCCTCCCCACGCGCAGCCCAACCTTCCCCACTCTCCCACGCGCCTCCACGCGCGTCTGGCATCAGCCACTCGCGCGCACGCTCTCCCACGCGCGTCTGGAGAGTTCCACGCGCGCGCGCGCTCCCACGCGCGCGTTGATGGCTTCCTGCAGACGTGTCACTTCCTGGTTGGTTGGCTGCATCCGGACTCCGTACTCGCGTCACACCGGATCATCTCACCCTATCTTCCCTCCATCCAACGCCCACAGATCCGGGTGTACCGCGGTAACATGGACCGCGGTGCACCGGATCAATCGCTCCTGTTAATGGCCCAGATGCGCGCGCATACCCTCCTATGGTGCGCCGCATCACACCGGATCACTCCGGTCGTCTCCCCCATTGCCGGCGACCGGAAAACTCGCCGGAAGGTCGCCGGAAATTGCAGAAAATGCCCGAAAAATTCCTAAAAATTCTAAAAAAAATCCCTAATGCCTTAAGGAAATATTTTTAGCTATTTTGAACATCATAGGATAATAACTAATTATATACCATCCTAAATAATTAAAAATTCATTAATTTAATAAACTAAAAAAAATCATTTAATAAAATTTAAGCATGCTCTCAATGCTCCATCATAATCTAAATAATTTAAACAATTAATTTATGGATTCAAAGGGGAAAAATAGATAATAACTTGCCTTTTTGGATTTAAAATAAATCCGCCGGTTGCGCGTAATCGGGTAAATTCCCTACACTGGTCCAAGCTCCTTTCTTTCTCTCTCTTCATTTCCACACTTTTACAATGGCTCACTAGAATTTATAATTTGTTTCTAACTCCCTTTCTTTCCTTCTAAGGTAGGCTAGCTAATTTATATACAAATTATATAATATAAATATTACAAATATCTATTTTTGCATTTAATTAACCACATTCCCAACCATAAGGCTTTAAGGCTAGCAAGCCAAGTCAAGCAAGATGTCCTAAGGTAAATCCTATCCTAAGATTTAATTTTTCATCATTACATTGATTTAATACTAATATTATTATTAATAAAACTTTTATAATAATTATTATTATTATATTATTATTATTATTATTATTAAACTATTATTATTATTATTATTATTATTACATAAGAATACATTATATCATTATAATACTTTATAACACAAATATAATACTTTAATTAACTAATAATGATTAATATAAGCATAACCAACAAATAAAATTATTAATAATAATACATGCATAATTAAATGAATAAATTTACTATTTTAACATACACAATTAATTTACATGCACATTTAAATGAACTTAATATAATAATGTAGCATGCACAATAATAAGTAAAGAAATCCTCACATAATTGAATTTTTAAATAAACTAAACTCTTTAATAAAATACGGGGTATTACAACCAGCTTCTTGAATGTTATAATTGGAAGCGTTTTAATGAATAAATCTGCTAAATTATCACTCGAGCGTATCTGTTGAACATCAATATCATGGCTCTTCTGAAGCTCGTGTGTGGAAAAGAATTTTGGTGAAATGTGTTTGGTTTTGTCACTTTTTATGTAGCCTCCTCTTACCTGTGCAATACATGACGTATTATTTTCATAAAATATTGTTGGACTATCTTTGATTGAGGAGAGTCCACATGATTCCCGAATATGTTGTACCACAGATCTCAACCAAATACATGCTCTACCTACTTTATGAATTGCGAGTATCTCAAAGTGATTTGAGGAAGTTACAGTCATGGTCTGTTTCATAAATCGCCATGATATTGCAATATCACCACAAGTAAACAAGTACCCTGTTTGGGATCGGGCTGTATGTGGGTCAGAAATATAACATGCATCTACATATCCAATCAACTGGGGCTTTGATTTCCTTGAATAAAACAACCCTATATATGTCGTTCCCCGAAGGTAATGCAGAATGTGTTTGACCCATTCCAATGTCTCCGAATTGGTGAAGAAATATATTGTGCTAGTAAGTTGACTGCAAATACTATATCAAGTCTGGTGCAATTCGCAAGGTACATAAGAGCATCGATTGCACTAAGATATGGTACTTCAAGACCAAGAACTTTTTTGCATTCTTCTTGAGGACAAAAATGATCTTTCTTAATATCAAGTGATCGGAAATTCATTAAAGAACTCAAGGGATGAGCTTTATCCATATAAAAGTGCTTCAGGACTTTTTCAATGTATGTTGACTGATGGATAAGAACTCTACTTGATAAATGCTCGATTTGCAGGCCAAGACAAAATTTTGTTTTACCAAGATCTTTCATTTCGAATTCTTTCTTTAAATAATCAGCAGTCGTGGTGAGTTCTTCAGGAGTTCCCACAAGATTTAGATCGTTAACATATACAGCTATAATGGCAGATCCAGATTTTGATTTCTTGATGAAAAATGAGCTTTTATCCATATAAAAGTTCTTCAGGACTTTTTCAATGTATGTTGACTGATGAATAAAAATTCTACTTGATAAATGCTCGATTTGCAAGCCGAGACAAAATTTTGTTTTACTAAGATCTTTCATTTCGAATTCTTTCTTTAAATAATCAGCAGTCGTAGTAAATTCTTCAGGAGTTCCCACAAGATTTAGATCATCAACATATACAGCTATAATGGCAGATCCAGATTTTGATTTCTTGATGAAAATGCATGGACAAACTGAATTATTCACATATCCTTTTTTTAGTAAATACTCACTAAGACAATTGTACCACATGCGTTCGAATTGCTTCAATCCGTATAAGGATCATTATAGCTTGATCAAATACATAGTATGTGGTTTCAAGCTATTTGCTTCAGGCATTTTAAATCCTTCAGCAATTTTCATATATATGTCACTATCTAGTGATCCATATAAATAAGCTGTAACCACATCCATTAGACGCATATCCAGTCCTTCTGAGACTGTCAAACTGATCAAGAAGCGAAATGTGATTGCATCCATCACAGGAGAGTATGTCTCCTCATAATCAATACCAAATGTGAACATGTTTAAATTGTAGAATTAATGATGTGGGTCATGCCATTGACCTTTTGAAAAGGAGAAAACAAAATTTCTACCATATACCACATATATTTGTTTGTATATATAAATACAATATCAAGTTCTTTTGTTAACTCTAACATAAAAGCTAAAACAGTAAAGGAAACTTGCATGCTATATAATTGTGTGTGTGTGTGTGTGTATATATATATATGTTTATATAATATAATCAAAGGCTCATAATTTATCTTTCTATAATTTTGCAGAACTTCAAGTTCGCAAGGGGTACTCAGTGTAAATGACTTTTAGGTCAAAAAACTTCAGGTTCACTTGAACTTCAGGCCAATAAATTTTGCAAAACTTTAGGTTCGCAAAGAGTACCAAATATTCATGAAACTTCAGGCTTACGAAGAGTATATTAATATATGCGAAACTTCGTGTTTGCAAAAATTATTAAATATAAATAATTTAGTATTTGCGAAACTTCGAACTCAACAATTTATTTTTCCGTAAAGAATGAACAAAAATATTATAATATAAATATATAAATAAATATTTGTGAAACTTTTGGCTCAACAATTTTAATTATCTCTAAAGTATGAACAATAATAGTTTAATATAAATAATTATTTTTTCTTACCCTTTGAAGTGAGAAAGAAAAATAAAATTTTCTTCTTAGTTGACAGAGTCTCGTACTAATAACATTTTATAAATATAGAACAAAATATATCTAGAACAAGATCTGAAGAACACAAGAGATGAGAAGGAACGAAGAGAGTAATGAACTTTCCATTATTTATTTTCAGTTCGGTACGTTAAACTTAACACAATACATACATATTTATAAACAGAATTTCACAACTACTTTATTATTTTTTTCTCTCACTTTTCACCACTTTCCACGCACACACAATCCAAACATTTATTTCTTCTTCCATGCATAACCCATATAATTGGTGTCAAATTTTTAATGCATGGACCCCACATGTACAATCACAACACTATTTTTTCTTTTTCTTTTTTTTTGGTTATGCTATATTTAGTTGGAGGGAAGGATTGAGGGGGGATAGATAAATATTTTCGTGTTTGGTTAGAGGGAAGAGAAGAGAGGAAGAAAACAAGGAGGGATGCTTCATCCCTCCTTCCTTTATATTTTTCTATCCGCCCACTTTTGGGGGGAAGGGAGGAGAAAAAGAAGGCATGACTACCTATGAATTAATAATTTACAATTTTCACCTTTTCAAAAATTTTGAAATAAATATCTAACTTTTATAATTTTATATAAAAAGATATATTGGTAAAAATAATATAAGAACTCTCGTTCCCTTCCTTCTAACCAAACAAGAAAAAAATATCACTCCATTCATCCTTTCTATTATCCATTCCATTCAACCAAACATAAAATGGGAAAGACGCCCTCCCTTCCCTGGAGATATCTTATCCATCCCTCCTCCTATCTCTTCCATCTATTTTTCCATTCCTCTAACCAAACGAAACATTAATGTATATTACAGTTAAATTAGTCTTAGGCTTTTCTTCTTGAATTATTAACCATATATTTTCCAAACAAAAATACTTGTAAGTTAATTATAAATTATTTTAGTGATTAATTTTAAAATCAATATTTTTCTCTTTTTTTTTTTTTTTTTTTCAATATTGTCCCTTTTTTCTTTTTTCATAACATATAGAATCTATGACAAGGTTTGATTGAAGCATGCTTTGCAGTATTGGTCACGGTCGCGGTATCGATCGCAATGTAACGGGTTAAAATAAAGTCAGTTTAAACTGGTCGATAGAAAGTTTGGAATATAAAAGACTACTCTTGAATCATCGTGAACAATCATATTGTTACCAGGGATATTTGTCCCACACCAAATGCAAAAGTAATATATATGAGTAGGTATACAACATTACCTAATAGTTTAAATTTTTGAATAAATGGACTAACATCCACCTGTTACAATTAGTATCAGAGCCAGACTCAATTCTTGATACCGTGTTACGCCAAGCGTTCGGGTGAACCATTCATGTAGTTACAAGGAATACTTGTCCTACATCAAATATGGATGTCATACTTAAGTACATATCTATATATTCTTACTCTTGATCAATCCTACTTACGAACTCATATGGTATACTTGACATAACACTCCTAAATATCACATTGTACAAATAAGTCTTACCTGACATATTTAAAACACATTGCCGATTTTTTGAAATGACGAAAGAAGGCACATAAGCACCATTGACCTACCTTAGTAAAAAACAAAAACACTATGAAAGTGTATGTGCTATGATGAGTGCTAACGGATCTCAACAGTCTATTGGCTGCTAACTTGGGCTCTATTTTTTCCCTGGTTTTTTTTTTTTTTTTTTTTTTTTTTTTTTTTTTTTTTTTCTGGGTCTTCTTTCCACCTCTCACCTTCGAGGCTCCATTTGCTCGCCCCCTCAACAAGCCCGCCGCTGGACAATACGCTTTTTCACATGCACTCCACCGCGCCAGATCTCACTCATTGCCATGTCTTTTCCACTGTCCATGTTCGGATAGAAATCGTGGCATCCACCTTCACCAATGACTCTGGAGAGATCAAAGACCCATCACTGATTGGAGTTTCACCAACCCAGAACAGAACACCGAACAGAACAGATGCACCAATTTTCGACAGATCTAACCGAATAGAAACTTCCGTTTTCGACGAACATAGGCAAAATGGGAAAAGGCCAATCAATATGAACACCAGCAAGAAGCGCTTGATCAGTGTCAGCTTCTATGCCCTATGGAAAATGGAGTGTACAATCTAAAACACAAACGAGGAAAGACTTTGGGTGATGAAATAGAATGTAGTGTTTTTTCCAAAGACATGTTCTAAAAACAGGGTGGGTCATCTGGTTCGACCAATTTTTATTCCCAGCAATTGCTTCTCCAAACTCAACAATGTGAAATGAGAAAAACTTAATACAAAAACAAAGCCCTCAAAACCTCTCTATATGACATACGGATGGAGATTCTAATGTGCTCTTTACCGATATCCCACTCATATTGCTGCAAAGTATTCCTTGCTGAGCTTAGGATCTGGCTTCATAGACTTCTCTCCAGGCTTCCATCCAGCCGGACATACTTCATCCGGGTTCTCCTGCACATACTGCAACGCCTGCAGGACCAATTCCAGACACACAATAAGCACCAGAAACATGTTTATCCTTTCCAATATACTAAAATAGGTAGAAACCTGAAGAGTCAAGCAAAATAATCTGTCCTTTTTTCTATTGAATATATGTACCTGGAGAGTTCGCATTGTCTCGTCTACACTCCGACCAATTGCAAGATTGTTAATGGTGGAGTGCTGAATAATTCCTTCTTTGTCAATGATGAAAAGTCCCCTCAATGCAACTCCCTAAAACATGGACACCTTTGCTGATTATAGTAGCACCAAAGGTGTGGATAATGCAAGAAAACTTAAATTAATCTATCACATCATTTTGGGCTACATATCTATAATACCGACATGTATCGCAATGATAGAGTTACTAAAAAGTGATCAGCATGACAAACTACCAAAGTTTCATAAAAAGATAGTTGTGATGAAAACCGTACTAGTTTGTTTCAAAATCTCTTCCCACAGTAGCAGACTCTAAAATTAGTTATATTGAATATGATACTTGCAATGACCGACCCCCGAGGTTTGTAGAAAAGAATGAACACGCAAATTCCACATGCAAAAACAACATCATAGTAGTCCTTGAAACATTTACTAGACAAAAAATTAACAGATTTATTATTTCTTTTTCCACAAAAGTATCATGTGCATACATTCTGATCAACAAAGTTAACCATACGAATTCCTGAAGTTATCATCCTTCTTCAATCTTTGTTTCATCTAAAAAAAGTTCACTTGACATGGAACTTTACATATGTTAAGAATTTTGTCCAAACCATCTGTCAGGTCAACAGAATTGTACAATATAAAACACTCTTAAAGAACCAAAAGATGCAAAAGCGATTTGTCTTAATTCACCTAAAAAAGTGAATTTAGTAAATCTTGTTTCTTTGTTACATATAATGAGGAAACAAAAAACCAAAATCATGAAACAGGGGCAGCATAATCTGACCATCACAAACCTAATTGCCAAAAACAATTATAGATAATAAGCTGATGTTATTAATATAGTTCGTGAATCAACAAAACTTTGCTTGCTTAACAAAAATGAATTCATGATAGCTACATTATTATAGTATTACTAGATGACTCTATTTACAGAGATAAACAAGCAATATCCTCACCCAGTATACTTGCTCAACTAAAAATGATAAAACTATGTTGCTCTAGATAAAAATACTAGCGAATAGTGAGATGCAGCATACCTGGTCAGGGATCAGTACACCATATGATTTTGAAATTGATTTGGTCACATCAGATATCAATGGATATTTCAGATCACCAAGGCCCCCAGACTTTCTATCTGTTTGGACCCACGCAAGGTGGGAGAACTACATAAAGAATAATGTGAGATCACCATGATGTACAAAGTACAAGATTTTCATCATATGAGTAACCAAAGATAGAATACAATTAAAAACTGCTAGTGAAACACCCTAGCCCAAAATATCCAGAATCCACATCCAACCTAATAAATTTAGCCATTTATAACAGAAATTACCAAATATAAGCTGATAAGCAGCTTTTGAAAATAAATATAAAAATTCATTCGTAAGTGCAACATTGTCCTATTGCACCGTATTTTGAGATTAGCAGCATTTAATAATTTTACTCCTACCAAAAAGGCATTCTCTTTTCACTTTCCTGAAATGAAGGCAACTGCACAACTTAAAAAGAAATACCGGAATTATGTCAACCGTTTCTCTATTCTCTAACAGAATCAAACGCAAGGGACCCTTAGAAATAAAGCCAAGCATTCCCTCCTGCCTCTTCTGTTTGCAATCAGAGCTGAAGACCCTCAAATCGAACCAGCTACTGTACAAATAAAGTTTTACCACAAAGGATATAAAATTAAGAATAAGTGGACAGTGAGAAGAAGGGAGAGTAAACCAAGAAGCGAGGTGGTTAGTTATGAATTATAATCATGGCAATTAAGGACAGAAGTGACAGTTGTGGTGCTCACAAGTAAAGCACCAAAATATTGCAAAAGATGATGGTGGTGGAAATCAATTTTGATGGCATTGATCATAGATAGGTCATTAAGGATGATATAGATCAACATTAGAGAAAGAGCTCGGATTTTCTTGTTAGATTTGAACAATAAATGAATGCTGAAACAATAATGCTTTCAAAAAATATAATATCAGGGGAACTATGGCAAGTGATTGGACACAGAGGAAAGAACATGAGCTGACTTTCTATACTTATAATAACATTTAAGTTTTTTTTCAAGTCAATGTACTTAAATCCAGGAAAAAGGAAAAATATTTCTTATCCAATTACATTAGGGACATTCAAACCAATATTGAAGTAGCCCGGCGAAATCCTAACAAAAATTGCATTTCGAGCTATATGGTATGAAAAGTGCCAAACTTGGACATCTGCGTGCCTTGTTATTTTGTTCCTTTTTCCATAATCATATTCTCCCTTCTACATAAGACTTAATGTTGTTACTAAGACAACCGAAACAAAGTGTTCATCAAAATAAATTAATGGCGCTTTTGTTATTGGATCAGCTACAGTCAATAAGTTAAAACAAAATTTAACGCAGCCAGATGCAGCAATGAGAATTGACCCAAATTTCTTACAATTGTCACTAGCTTATATGTATATTAGAAAGACATGTACTGATGTACATGAGATGTGCATGATCAAAGACAATACTAAGAAAGACGAACATGAAAGTGTGCTAGAGGGGAGGGCGGAGGGAGAGAATGAAACATGGGATGACTATCAAATTGTGGTTAACATGGCAAATTGAATGCATATTTGAAGACTATTTTTACACCTTCCATTAGATGTATAGGTGATAAAGGGCATTTTAGTAAACTAATGAAGGAGACCAAATCGGATACCCAAAGGGCGTGTAAATCAATATAGTAGCAAAGATATGACTTAGGTACAAAACCAAAAAACAATTATTCATATAGCTGAAGAGGCTGGCATCATTAAATATTTTCAGGATACCATCAAGATAAATCTAGGTCAAAATATATAAGGACAGTTCTGGTGACACTCAATAATAAAATATGCAACACTATAAAAACAGAGAATCAACTAACGGGAAAATAACTAGTAGTCAAATGTTGGTATAGCCAATAGGAACTAGTGTAAGCAATTCTAGATGGGCTCCTTTTCCTTAACAGGCACAGAATTGAAGGGGGTGCTCAATTGCAGGTTAAGAATTGAATAAAGGACTGTGATTTACCAGCAGACTTTACCAATAGGACAGAGTGAGGAAACACTTACCTATAAGCTGTGTGGGTCAGTGCTGACAAGGGTTTGTAGGGGCAGTTGTTATTGTTGTTTTGTGTAGCTAAAGGCTAGTGGAATATCAGATTTTAGGGTTTATAAAAAGGGTTAACATGAAAATAGGGGTTCGTGGTTTTTATTAGGCACAGATAGGGGAGGTATTAGGGCTAACTGGGCACTGTTAAAGTACACATGGACCATAACTTTGGCTGTTTGGGTGATTTTTGGTATGCTATGAAGTGAATAATTAAAAGATGGAAGGGTTAGACCTGTAAAAGAGTAGAACGATCACTCTAGATTCCCATAACCATCACACTTAAGGTTTGTTGGAAAATTCCTGTAAAAGATGTTCTCTACTTAATTGAAGCACTCATAGCTATAAGATTTCGAGTCTTATTTAGAAACTTGAGAACTCTGCTAAGGGAAAAGAAAGAAATAAAAACATATAAAGTTTGACTAATTAAACTAATACGGACCAACTAAAAACCATGAACAAAAGGTTCATTACAATAATTTTGACCCAAATATGACCCATAAATCCTACTGCAGCCCAAAAACGGCAAATCTGAAAATTATTAAAATAGAACATAAAAAGAAAACATAAGTAAATTAAACTAGCGGCAAACTGAGATTATATATATATATAAGACTTGACTTGTATTCAAAGTTTATTCTAGAAGGTGCTCTGTTGGTACTGGCTTGATGATAGGCAAATTTCTGAAGTTCCTCACTTCTCCAAATATTTATCTGTATTGAACTTCTCATGGACTGCATCAACAACTGAGTAGCTGTGCAAGTAATCAACTTCACAATGATATTATAAGTGAAGCCAAACATATTCAATTTACATCAATGCATCAACAAATTGTGGCAGAGACATAAAAAAGAAAAAGGTCTCAAAGATTAGAACATCAGAATCTCCAAGAAAGATTGAATATGAGAGGAGGGGGGGGGGGGGGGGGGGGGGGGGGGGGGGGGGGCGTGTTGGACTTACCACACTGTCTATAGAAACTCCCAATATTTCCGTGTTTAACTTCTCAAAATCCGCATGGCGGTCACTGAAAGCAGTGATCTCTATACAAGCAGGAATGGAATGAAAAAAGAAGAAGCAATAGGACATTTCAGCATCCATAATTTCCAGGCCTTAATTTACAGTCATCTGATCAAACAAATAACTAATTAAAAATTACGTCGGCTTAGTGTCAGAATCACCTGTGGGACAAACAAAGGTGAAATCCAGTGGATAAAAGAAGAGAATCACATATTTCTTTCCAATATACTCGGAGAGTTTAACCTGCAAGAACAACCCCCCATTTGTAAATAAAACATATAGGTGAAATTATATAATGCATGTTTGAAATTTCTCGACCTAACATCTCTAGGCACAAAACCATTTTCAGAGTACCAAAAAAGAAAAAGGACAGAGAAAATACATATAACAGTTACACAATGCACATCAGTTTCAGAAAACTCAACCCACCCCCCAACCCCCCCTTCTCTCCCTTTCTCACGACAACCAGTCAATAGACCCACAAAGCAGTTCCTAAAGCAAATCATACCATCATCAAAGTGGAATTATATAAATAAAAATGCCCTAGGTTGAGAATTATAAGGGTAGTAACACTTAAAAAGACTTTGACTAGTATGAGCATATAAGTAGAGATCTTGCTGGTTCTACTCTCACAACCAAGTATACTAAAAAGGGTCAGCACAAATTACATACCTCCACAAACAAAGAACACCACAATTTTATTTTTATAAGTAGAATAACTTCACAGTTAATCCTAAGTACCTAAATCTCACTTGGAAAACACCCATGTCTATCACAATCACCTAGCTCCTCAATCAGAGTACATCCAAGTGCAAAACTAGAATCGATCATATTTACAAGTACACAGTACCAGCAGAACACAAGATTAAAAAATGTAATTTATTATGAACTATAAATTTCTCTTTATAAACTACCTTGATGAACTCCTGATCGAAAACAGCCTCTGCCTCAAAGTCTGGTGCTGTATTTCCAACCAATGGAAGTTCACTCTGAAAAAAGATGTGATAAGAGTCATCAAAAAGCGTAAAGCGGAAGTCAAATTAAGGAAATAAGACTTTAAGAGGCATAATTTAGATAAATTTGAGATTGCATAAGAATGTTAAATATTGCCGATTTTTAGGTATTTTGCAAGTGCTACTTTTAAATTATATCCCACATTATTTCTGAACAATTGAAGGACAATAAAGATTATGATAAATCTATAACACTCTGGTGTAGAAATTACAAGAGGGAGAAAAAACAACTTCATTGATGATTGCAACAACGTTATTCAAAATTGATAGGGAAAAATATAAACCTACCCTACCCTCAATAAGATTGATTAGATTTCATTATCAAAGATAATGAAATCAAATCTGACGTGGTTCAACAGGTAAGAATAATCCTACTATAACTGGAAGAGGTCAAAAGGATTAAATCATATCCCGACAAATCTGGTAATAAATCTCCTATAATTTCGCACAAGCGGAAGATAAGGTCAACCATCGACATCAGCGGAATGATTTTGATTCCAATCGACAGCCATAAATAGGGCATCAAGCCATTAAAGAAGGTACGACGTAAAAACTATTATTAATCCATGCCTTCTTTTTAGACCTCCGTGACTAATTTGATCGTCGGAGAGCTCTTGGCAGGCACCACACCGGTGCCGTCAAGGTTCATCGATCTTCTCCTCTCTTCCTTGCAGAAAAACGGTATCGTATCGAACTGCGCGAATTTCAGCCTCAACAGTTGGCGCCGTCTGTGGGAACGACGATTCCCTTGAATCAATTAATTACTCGTTAGGTATATATGTTTGCAGTCCGGTATGGTTACCGAAGGAACAACGTCGCAGGGATCTAATCAAAGGGTAGAGTCGAGTGAAAACCTGGACGTCCCAAACGACCAGGCACGGCTTGCAGCGTTGGAACTACAGGTTCAAACTCTGAGTCAAGGTATGAACCAATTGATCCAGCAAAATGCAACGCTCTTGCAACACCTTGTTCCACCGGTTCAACAAAACTTTCCAGGACAAGATCTCTCAAGTCCAAACGGAGGTAATGGGAATCTTGAAGAGAGGGATAATCATTCCCCCCAAAATGAGACTGAAGTGGAACAAAGCCAGGTGGGAACCCGACATAGAGAGGTGGTTCACCCATATCTCCTACGGAGTTGCCGACCTCCTGAAAGTATAGCCTTCTGTCTTAAGGAAAAGACAAAAAAAGTTACCCATCTCGACTTGCAGATCAAGGATCTCAAGGGGAAAATGGAAGATGTAATGCAGGCTATGAAAGGGAAAGGTCCTGCCGCCGTAGATGACCTGGTACAAAGGACCAACTTGCCTTTCAGCCCCGCCATTATGAAATGTCCACTACCTAACAAGTTCAGGATGCCCTCGTTCGAAAGCTTCGATGGGACCAAAGATCCCCTCGATCACCTGGAAACTTTTCAAGCTCTTATGCATTTACACGCTGTGCCAGATGAAATCATGTGCCGAGCTTTTCCCACTACACTTAAGGGATCAGCGAGAGTTTGGTTCAACAAGTTGAAGCCAGGAACCATCAACACCTTCAAAGAATTGAGTAAGCAATTTGTGAGCCACTTCATTGCAGGTCAAAGGCATAGGAGGCCGGCTACCTACCTGTTTACCGTGGAGCAACAAAAGGAAGAGTCGATTCGGGAATACATCACCCGATTCAATGCAGAGATGTTGCAGGTAGAAGAGGCGAACGACAAGGTAACTTTAACCGCTTTCATAGGAGGACTCCAAACCTCCAGATTCTTGTTCTCCTTATCAAAAGAACCTCCCACCAGCATGATAGAGTTGCTGGTCAGAGCGCAAAAGCACATCAACGCTGAAGACACCATGAGTGCACGGAAGGAAGGAGATGACAAGAAGAGGCCAACCCCTCTCGCCAGGGATGAAAATAATACCAAATATAAGAAATCGTTCTTCAGCCAGAGTGACAGCACATATCATGAGAATGACTCAGATGAGTATACCGACTAGAAATTGTCTCGCGGCTAGAATTAGCCTTATCAAGTCATTCACAATAAAGACTGGGGGCATCTTAGTTAATCATTTTAAATGGAGGGTAGCTCCATCACGTGTTATTTTGTTTTTAATAATGATGGTCTTTAATAAAATTCCTTTTAGTTTATACGTGCAGTATCCCCGTACTATAAGGGATAGTAAATGAGTGTCCAGTATTACAAGGACCCGGGCTGAGTGAATCCCGTAATCCGTATCCCCGTACTATAAGGGATAATAAATGAGTGTCCTGTATTACAAGGACCCGGGCTGAGTGAATCCCGTAATCCGTATCCCCGTACTATAAGGGAATAGTAAATGAGTGTCCTGTATTACAAGGACCCGGGCTGAATGAATCCCGTCATCCATATCCCCAGACTATAGGGGATAAGTATCCTGTATTATCAGGACCTGGGTTGGATGAATCCCGTAATTAATATCCCCTTACAATAAGGGATAGTAAATAAAAATCCTTTATTAAAGAGGTGAACCGAGTAAAACTCGTAAAGTTCAATTCCCTTACTAAAGGGACGAGCTGAGTAAAATTCGTAAAGTTCAATTCCCTTATTAAGGAGTGAAACTCATATAATTTATTCCCTTATCAAAGGAAGAGTACTATTCCCTCGGGTGCAAAAAAAAAATACTGTTCCCTAGGGTGCAAAAAAAAAAATTTTAAAAAATACTATTCATGAACAGTACCCGCGGGTACTGTTCCCTCGGGTGCAAAAAAATAAATAAATAAATAAATTAAATTATTATTATTATTTATTACATTCCTAAAGCTAGACGTGCAAGCTTGGGAATGGGGGGCAACTGATAGGGAAAAATATAAACTTACCCTACCCTCGATAAGATTGATTAGATTTCATTATCAAGGATAATGAAATCAAAACTGACGTGGTTCAACAGGTAAGAATAATCCTACTATAACTGGAGGAGGTCAAAAGGATTAAATCATATCCTGACAAATCTGGTAATAAATCTCCTATGATTTCGCACAAGCGGAAGATAAGGTCAACCATCGACATCAGCGGAACAATTTTGATTCGAATCGACAGCCATAAATAGGGCATCAAGCCATTAAAGAAGGTACGACGTAAAAACTATTATTAATCCCTGCCTTCTTTTTAGACCTCCGTGACTAATTTGATCGTCGGAGAGCTCTTGGCAGGCACCACACCGGTACCGTCAAGGTTCATCGATCTTCTCCTCTCTTCTTTGCAAGAAAACGGTATCGTATCGGACTGCGCGAATTTCAACCTCAACAAAAATCATTCATGGCAGACATGCATTGCACAAGACAAGAATTCTACATAGCCTGACAATAACTTACAGGTTATGTCTCAAACTCCAAATATTTATATTTTCTGCTACAAACAATGATTGTATTAAAGAGAAGCATCTTTAACAGTCACGAACACCAATAAGACCATTATCTAGTGTTATTACTTGAACCAAATTGTTAATCAAGGAAGTGAGGGCGGATTGGCATAAGAATCTAAACACGTTAACATTATATGCACAAAGCAGATTACAACTAAAAGTTTCTCCTCTAGCACTGGTCCAGTGGTCTAATTCATATATCACGGAATCTATAAATTAACTGGGAAGATAAAAACAACTTAAGTGATGATTGCAAGAATGCCATTCATAATCATTCAAGACATATATGTGTTATACATAGCAAGAAAATAATTTATAGATTGTATAGCATGACAATAATTTATAAGCTATATCAAAAACTTCACAATTTCTCTTCTTGTTTTTCAAATAATAACTATGTCAGAGAAGAGGATGCACAATGGGAACAAACATCATTATGCACTGTTGCTGCTCATTAATCAAGGGTGTTAGACAGTGGGGACTGAGCATATACGGAGCCTCTGACTTTATTTCCATAAAGTAGCAGCCTTAGACTCAAACTCACATCCTCGCACCTGGCACCCAAGCTTTTACCATCGCACCAGCACAAAGCAATGGAACAAGCACAAACACCCAATATTGGATTCAACTACTGGTAAATCAAAAAATAATTTCTTCAATAAAAAAGAAAAACATCTGAGTATCAGAGTGACCATACATTCCAAGAGAGGACATGATTAGACATTTCTAAGTCGACGCTCAACAAGAATATATACCAAAGTATGAAATTAAGAGAGAATATATAGACACGTGGGAAAATTACGTACAGCCCTGACAACGAAGCTCCGTCTAGAGTGAGATCTACTGGTCGAGATCGACCGAGAGACTTGAGATTGGAAGGGCTTGCTGAGGCCACTGAAAGAATTGGGTATGGCAAGGGTTTGTGAGAATGGCTTTGAAACGGAAGATTTAGGGGAAAAGTAAGCCCTGGCGTTTGATGGAGGGATTAGGGTTACTGATGGAGCTGTACAGGCCATTGGAGTTAACGACACCTCTCTCTATAGATTCTCACTCTTTCCCTCTCTTGAGAACTATTTAGTTGAGAAAGAAGCAGACTGGAGTGAGTGGACAAGCAGTGATGGACAGAGAGAAAAGGGGGTCGGGGTAGAAATACTGGCGTTTGGTAAGCGTTTGGAGCGGTGGTCTCTCCACATATTTTGGAAACCGGTAATAGAGGTAAAAAAAAAAATTGAAAGTCACTTCTTTTTGCTTTGGTAAAATGTTCTATCTTTGTTGCTTAAAAAAAAATCTTTCTAATTATGAAAATAGTTTTTTATTCTCAAAAAATTAAAATTTTAAAATAGTATAAGAATCTCTATTTAGTTTAGTTTTTTAAAAATTCAGTTATAAAAATTTCTGTTTAGATGAATATAAAAGATTATTATCTGAGAACAGTTGTTCTATTCTTTGAATTATTGAGAACTATTTTCAGGGTTACAAACCAAGTGAGTCCTTAATCTCTCCTAAGTTTGGTTGGCTTTGCTCTCATGTTCCATGACTATTAGTCGTGTCATGTTCGGTGACTATTAGTCGTATCAAAAGGTAACAAATTTGAAAGAATAAGATGCCAAAACTATCCTCCATTAGTTCGAGTAATTAGGGATGGTAATTTCTCTTCACCCACACTTAATGGGACTGATTAGGTAGCCTCTTAAATAGATTTAGGATGGGTATAATACTACCTCTGTCCAAGAATAGGGGTCCATTTATAGAAATTGAAGTTTTTAAAGGGACATGCAATTAATGCATTGTCCCTTTTTAAAATTATCAAATTATCCTTTCTAATTTAAATATATAAAGTTACAAAATTTGAAATTTTTTAAAAAGATAAAGGATAATGATGGAAAGATAAAGGAAAGATGTTTTGACTTTTTAGAGAAGACAACTAATTTGGGACATGTAAAAATGAAATAATAGACTACTAATATGGGACAAAGGAAGTAAAATAATTAAAAATCAGAAGTCGGTTTGGGGCAGGGTCAGATTTAGTGATGAACTCACCCCACCCCCAAGTGATGAACTCACCCCACCTCGTGCGAATTATATGTATCTTTAATATTTTTAAGACCACTGTTACTTTGTTGGAAATGTCCTTAATATATTAATATTTACAACAATTTAAAAGCTGGGTCAGCTTATTTATTAGTCTAATTTGAATACATTGGGCTTTTTTTTTTTTTTTTACTAAATAATAAAAGTGGTGTAACCCACCCAATCCCACTCCGTAATTAAATGAAGTATGCGGGACGAAGTCGATATTACGTTAGTCAAAGTAGGGGCGGAGATGGTATACTAATTACAAACTCGTCCTGGAGTAGGGGCAAAGTTGGTATGATGGATTTTTTAATAGAGCGAAGTAGGATTTAGCCAACTCTGCCCTGTTGCCATTCATATGAATACTCCGTATAATTTTAGCTTCAATTAGTTGGACCTTCAAGGGTTTTACCTAGTGTTACTCGAATCCGGATGAAAAAGTGAATAGGTATATACGGGTTAGGTGTTACTCTACCTAATAACTTAAATTTTTGAGTCGGATCTCATAACACCTGACCCGTTACACCTAGTTAGTTAGTAGAGTGTCTAACTCCTTGAGGAAGTGTGCCCTTGTTCGAGATCTTTTTTCTTATTTTGCCAAGGAAAAATAATTAGTTGGACCACCATCCCTTGTTTTTTTGGATTTAAATTATTTTTCTCTTATATTAACTTTGCTACCGAGTGTTGGTTTCTCTAACTACTTATTTTACTTAATTAGAGTGTAGATCTTTCTCTTTATATGAACTTTGCATAGAAGAGTAAAAGTGCCCAATTGGGGCTTCACCAACGCTATTAATCTTTCTGTGTCATATATGCATCATATGTGTGTATGTGTGTGTATAGAGAGAGAGAGGTGTTTGAAGAATATATGACTTAGTGGTGGAAAATGTCAGCAACCATGGGATATCTCAAGTCCTGCTATTGATTGAGAAATTCGATCCAATGTACTAAAGTGAACTTCTGAGGGAATTGAATGGAGGCATTCCTTACCACCACATATCTCTACTGGTGCTTGAAATATGATTGTTAATTTATGAGCTTATGAACTAAGTACTTGTATGTAATAAGAATGGGCCATAGGGTAGTGAACTTTAAGGCTTCGTTTGGATTGAGGGATTTAGAAGGATTTGGAGAGAAAAGAAAGGGAATGATAGTAACTAGTGTGTTTGGATGAGAAGAATAAGATAGAAAAGAAAAGATTGGTAATGATTTGGAGGGATAGCTATCCCTCCAAATTCCTTATATTGTATCCCTTCAAAATTGACAAGATTTGGAAAGATTTGAAGGGAAAGGAAACTAATGACAAAAGTATCCCCATTTGGTTTCTTATTTTCCATCCGGTTTCACGTTTTGATTCTTGCAGACAGATAGATAAACTAAAATATATGGGTTTTTGAACTTCTAATGTGGAATACATAAAAACCCCATCAGGTTTCTTGTTTTCCATCTTGTTCTTTAATCATACATAAATACATATTCACACACACACACACACACAAATTCATACATAGATACATACACGTGTGTGTATATATATATATATATATGTGTGAAAAAAAAACTGAAATATATAGGTAATAGGTTTTGAACTTTTGATTTTTGCAGACAGATAGATAAACTGAAATATATGGGTTTTGAACTTCTAATTCTTGTAGATTTTGTAGTTTGCAGTTGTATAGAGAGAGATAGAGAAAGGGGGCAAGTTCAGATCTGAGAACGAGAATAGAGATGGAGGCAATTGGGGAGGCTGAAATTATTTGCCCTACTAACCCCACAAAAGGGTAAGATGGTAATTTTAATTATTATTCTTTCCTTTCTTTTCTCTCCTCTGTCTTATCCAAACAAGAATATTATCTATTCCTTTCTGTTGTCTCCTATCTATCCAAATATGAATATAAATTATAGCTATCATTTCCTTTCGTTTTTCTCATAACTAATGTTATCATTTCCTTTCTTTTGTCTCCTGTGTATCCAAATGAAGCATGAGAGTTCAAATAAAGAAAACAAAATTGAACTGGAACACAACCGTTCTCTTCATGTTGAATAATTTCAGCGGTTGTTTTACCCACAAACCCGGCCGTACAGGGAGTTGTAACCAACAAACAACTTTCCTATTTAATTTCAGTTGGTGAATGCATCACACCTTCGCCCAATCTCTCATTTTTCCCAATTTTAACACTATATATAGATGCTCAACTTCTCCATTACTTGACCAAATGCCTCAAGGAAAGCCACAACCAAAAACTGTGCTCTATTCCATGTCTTCAACAAGGAAATGGAGGCCAATTCCGGCATAGTAGTACTCCTTAAGCTGCCTGAAACCATCTTCTCCTTCGATTCGATCAAGAAGATAATAAATAAATAGAGATTGGTAGAGACTAGTTAGAGAAATCAATCAGATTGATAGATAAAGAGGAGCAACGAAGATGACAGGGATCCATCATTTCAATTTTGAGAGCCAAATAACATCAAATCTACGCAACCCTATTTGGAGACAGCCCTGCCGCCCCTTCCTCTACCTCCTCCGTTGTCGATGGCATTTTGTACTCGTCAAAACCAGACCCGCCCCTGAGATTCTCAAAATTTTGTGAGGCCCTAGGCAAGCTTTCAACAAAAAAATTATAAGAATGCGAATTTTTTATTAAAATGAGATAATAAAATATAAAATATATTAATGTTAAAACAAAACCCGATATTGATGCTTTATAGAGAGCACGATCCAGTTTACATCAATAAATTAAAAGAAACATTCAACACAAATTAGTAACAAAAATCAAATTTCAACTTCATATCAAAGTAAACGTGATCATCTTGCATTTTGAGTTGCAAATTTATCAATTAAAGTGCTCCAATCAAGTTCCTTCAACATATCTTTTTCAATAGATATCATAGCCAATTCATTCAATTTCTCTTATGACATCGTTAACCGTAGGTAAGATTTAATCAACTTCAACTTTAAAAAAATTCTCTCAGCAGATGCAACTACAATTCGGATAGTTAATAATACTCTATATGCAACTTAACATTTTTATAAAATCAAATACTTCAATTGCCTTTTTTGTTCCTTTAGATAAAGTTTTTCTTAAGACTTATAACTCTGAAAATAATTCTGTCCCATCAGTATCAGAAACCATGTCATTTTTGAACGGATCTTAAAAGTTTATTTTGGAAAACGTTTCAATTGATTGCACCAATGAGTTAAAAATTTAATTGCTTGGATTGAGTTTAACGGAGCCTGCGATGCATGCACATGAGCCCAAAAATAATATAATAATAAAATAAATTAGTTTCTGAGTGTTAATATAATTTTTTTTTTCTTTTGAAGGGAGGAGATATAAACAAATTATTGTTACTATGCAAATTATTGTGTAACATATAAATTGATATTATAAGTACGTGTGTTTATTGCTATAATAGCAAATGCCTCGTTAGCCCAGTGGGTTAGTACTTCTGGTGAATTTTGGAGTGTCAAGTTTCTATTCCCTGCATATTCTAAGCAAACTTCTAACATTTCTAGCCTGTATTTATTGCCATATACTATATTTGCATTATAATCCCTAAATTTGAGGCCCCCATCAGAGCTCCCCCATAACAAACCCACAAAAGACTAATTCAAACCCAAAAAACTATATATGTGTGTGTGTATATATATATATATATATATATATAGAGCTTAAACAAGAGAGAGGGGAGGATATTGAGCTGAAAAAAGGGATCAAAACAAGGGCAAAAGTGACATTTTTCATTTTAAATGCATGCATTTAGTTAAATAAAGAAAGGGGTATAATGGTAAAATCATATTTTCCTATAAAAAATAAACTGCTACTAGTAACAATTTTTTCAAGAGGCAAACGTGAAAAGGTGCCGGAACATGCTACCCTTTTTGTTTTTCTTATATTATAAGGAATTGCCATGTGTAATTTATTTTGAAATTTAATTTTATTGATCTATAATAGATCACCATTAATTTGAATACTATTTAGGTCTCAAGTCTTCAAAGTGTTGTTCAGAAAATCTTTACCTCACTCAATTAGGGGTGCACACGATTTTGGTTCCTGTGATTCTTGGTAGAATCGAAATTAATCTCAATGACTCTTAGAAAATGGAAGCGGAACAAGTGTCGATTCCAGTTCCAATTCTGATTTCGATTCCGATCTGATTCTATTCGATTTGGTTCTATTAGTTCTTTGTAAACCCTTAAACTTACTGTGATTACTGATTAGAATGGCTGAGACTGAAAAAAAAAAAAAAGGTATTTTTTTTAAATTAAAAAAAATAATAAAATAATTGTGATTCAATTATGTACCTAGTTAAAAAAAATAATAAAATAATTGTGATTCAATTATGTACCTAGTAGAGAAGAACATAACACTCGGTACAAATTGCCGTGTCTGGATTGTAAAATTGTTGGGTGGGCTTCGGTCAAATATTTCCCTTCTTCTATTCATTTTTATCCTCTCTAGTCTCTGCCGAAGCTTCGGATTTCATTTGTTCGGATTTCATAGTGTAATCTGAGCACAATCTTTCAATCTTTGGAGCCTTATCCGTTAAGACACCACCACTTCCATAAAATTTTCTCCAATCCACTAAAACTTTCTCTCCATCCAAACATGTAGCAACCAAATCATGCAAGAAACCCTCCATCTCTTCTCCGCCAATGCTTTCCCCAACCACAACTTTCCCTCCAAACCCATCAACTTTCCCCCGTTTTATTGCCCGAGAAACCTCCACTTTCCCACCATTTCCTCCACCAAAACCACCATTTCCCTCCCCCCAAAACCCCCAAAAATCCCAGAGACCCCCTCCATATCCCCAACCCCTCAACCACACCTCAACCCAACTCCCCAATCCGAGTTCCATGAGAGCCTGCTCTACCTCGACTCCATCGGAATCGACCTCTTCTCTCTTCTCACAACCCACCCTTCGATCGTCTCCACCTCAATCACCGACGTCAAATCCATCATCCACTTACTGCACTCCGCGGGCCTCACCGCACCAGATCTCCGCCGCGTTCTCTCCATGTGCCCCGAACTTCTCACTTCCAACATCTCCGACATCGTCCAAGTCTTAACCTTTCTCCTCAGGGAGGCCCAGGTGGACGGCTCTGACCTCCGCCGCGTCATCAACCGACGGCCCAGATTGCTCGCCTGCAGCGTCGAGAAACGCCTCCGTCCCACCATGTACTTCCTCCAAAGCATCGGCATTACCCAAATCAAGAGACATACCTCTCTCCTCTCTTGCTCTGTTGAACAAAAGTTCATTCCCCGAATCGAATACCTTCAACGAATTGGGTTCTCGTACCGGGACGCTATATCTATGTTTAGGAGGTTTCCACCGTTGTTTTGTTACAGTATCGAAGAGAATTTCGAGCCCAAGTTCGATTACTTTGTGGTGGAAATGGGTAGAGAGCTGAAGGAACTGAAAGAATTTCCTCACTACTTTTCGTTTAGCTTAGAGAATAGGATTAAGCCTCGGCACCGGCAATGTATGGAAAAGGGTGTGTGTTTATCGCTTCCGGCAATGTTGAAGTCCAGTGAGGAGCGGTTTGGGGGCAGGTTGGAGGTCTTCTGTAATTCATCGATACCGGTGAGCACTTCTCCTTTGTGGGTTGCAAATTATGATGCTAATTCATTATATAATTAATTTGTTCATAGCATATCATTTAATTCACTTGATCAGTGATGTGTAGTAAATTGCCCGTGTAATATAGATTGTAGCCATAATACCTATATCTTTTAATGGAAGAAAAGAGTTTAGCTTTGAAACTGATAATTGGGGTTCAAATAGGTGTTCGTTTTATACCATTTAATTTTTGAGGGTTCTAAATTTGTTAGTTTTATGTATTGAAAGGAAAATGGAATATAGATGGTTCCATTTTGGTACTAGCAAAAATAGTGGGTTGTTTTGGATCATTTCAAGTTATTTGATTTCTGATTAATGTTTTACACTCGGGTAAATTACACTTCCACCTCCTTACACATGGAGGCCTATTTTGCGGAAACTCGCACCGGCTAAATTTATTGGTTTTGTATATTGAAAGGAAAATGGAATATAGATGGTTCCATTTTGTGCTACCAAAAGTAGTGTGTTTTGGATCATTTCAAGTTATTTGATTCCCGATTAATGTTTTACAATTGGGTAATTACACTTGCCCTCCTTACACATGGAGGCCTAGTTTGTCAAAACTTACACTCACTCCCCCATCCAAATTTGATGGTTTTGTGTATTGAAAGGAAAATGGAATATAGATGGTTCCATTTTTGTGCTAACAAAAATAGTGGGTTGTTTTGGATCATTTCAAGTTGTTTGCTTTCTGGATCATTTCAAGTTGTTTGCTTTCTGATTAGTTAGTTTACACTTGCACCTCCTTACACACGGAGGCTTAGTTTGCAAAAGCTTACACTCACACCATCACATTTTCATTCTTAATGTTTGTTACTTTTTCATGTTAAATTACACTTTGTCCTCAATAGAATAACACTATTTTAATTGCACAGTATCTCATTGCCTAAGAAGCGTGGACACGGATACGACACAACACCGATACGGCGACACGACAAATCCAAAAAAATTAGGACACGGACACGGCAAATAGTATATATACATACATATACATACATATATACATACATACATATACATACATATATACATACATACATATACATACATATATATATACATACATATATATATATACATACATATACATACATATATATATATATGATGTGGTACTTTAAAAATTACTGAGTGTTACTATTTTTCATCAACCTCACAATGAAAAAAAAAACACAAATCATAACTTATAACTAATAAACTATAAAAGAACAATGTTGCAGAGTTATAAAACTAAAAAAAAAAAAAGACATTAGAATAATAACTAGTATCATTTAATCATCATTGCAACTTTACTTCAAATACAAAAGTATAGACAGAAAGGATTATTAACATTCATGACTGTTTAACATTCAGGATTTTATTGTTAGCACTTAACATTCACAAAAACCTAAAGGCTAGTCCCCAAAAAAGATACAAAAACAAGTCAGTGTACTATTATCTATTCCCTTCCATCATTTGACCTAGGACTTTTATCATTTACAATACCAAAAGGGTAGTACAAAACAAAAAAAAGAACATATCAGCATTCAAAAAAAAAAAAAATTCCAGAAGTGTCCGTGCCGTGTCCGTGTCTGTGTCCGCGGAGTGTCCGTGCCGTGTCCGAAAATTCAAAAAAAATAAAAAAATTCCAGGCACGTTTTTTGGCATGTCTGACACGTGTCGGATGCGTGTCCATGTCCGACACATGTCGGACACGGATTCTTCGCCCATTTTGGAGTGTCCGTGCTTCCTAGCTCATTGCAAACGAAAAAGATGACCCCATCCATGAGAAATTATTAGATGGTCCTAGAAATGAGAAATTGTCCCAATGTTGCAGTTTTTGAAGCTGGGCTTTGAGGGTTCGGTCATCTGACGAATATGAACTGGAAATTTTCCATCTTCATAATGTACTTTGCTATCTGATCCGATCATGTTCACTTATGTGTTTTTGTTAAGTGGTATTCTCTTTTCGTTAAGTGGTATTCTCACTTCTAGTTAATCTTCATGTTGGTTCTGGAGAATGAGTTTGTGTGCTTTTACACCAGATTTAATTTGTAGAGATACATGAACAACACATAACACCATTTGGAAAAAAATAACAAAATCTTTTTCTTGGGATCCCTTTTCTGACAATGGCATAGCAACTGATTGCATTTTATTAACCCACCCAAAAAATTAAAAGTAGCATTCAATATTGGTATGTTCAGCTAAAAGAAAGTGGATTTGAAATAAAGAGATACGAGTTTCAAATAAAAGATAGGTTTTTCAAGTTGGATTGGGAGGTCCAAGGGATGTTTAGTGAATGAGTTATGGGATATATATTTTATTAGGACTCTTCAGCTATTATAATCTTATTAGCATGGATTTCAAGTAACCCTTTTCATCTTGTTTTTCCCTCAAATCAAATCATGCATCTGGTTAGAACATAAATCTAATACTCCTTAAATAATTGAATTTAAATCTATTCAATTAAATGCTTCAATTCAAATGGATTTAAAAGTTATGTTGTTTTATTAAGGTTTGCTTGCTTTGTTCTCTAAGCACATTGCACAAAAGATTGTTGGAGAAAATCAAAAGTTTGTTTGTTTGGTGGAATCATTACCTTTGCAATCTTGGATATGTTCACAAGATATAGGTTTGTCGCTTTAAAAGCTCATGATGTCTGTCCATGAGGACATGTTTTGGCATTTAATTTACAGAATATAGAACGCTAAGGTAGAGTGTTAATCTTTAATGGATCCAAGGCTTGCATCAAAAGGGATGTTATACTTTTATTTTGCTTAATTTCTGGCTTTTTATAATCTTGAGTGTGCCGATCAACTTCTGCACCAAAGTGTTGTTTTCATGGTACATATCTAAGTTATTGCGTGCAATAATCAAGCTTATGTTTCGTGGAACTCAAGCTGAAGCAAGATTTATGATCTTGTAACATGGCACTTCATGTGCCTGCTTAACTGTTAGCTTTTGTGTAGTAGTAGATTTTGTTTATTCTTGTGGGCAATGAACATAACTTGTGGTTTTTCTGCCACGTATAAAAGCTCATTCTGAAGTAGCTTCCGGTTGTTCTGTTTCCTTAAAGACAATCTTTGGAAACACTCGGAAAAAGTGTGACCTAGGAATTGTAATGACAGGGCTAAACTGTAAGATATTAGACAAAAAGATAAAATTGCATGTCATTCTGAAGCTGAGTTTTCATTCCTTTTTATTATCAAATAGTTAGATCTGCATGTCACATTGAAGCCGGGTGTTTAAAGGGGCTATGTGACAGTACCTGCGGATTTGTTATGACTTCATTTCTTCTTTTCCTGATAGCCATAGGGTTAGAGCCTTTAAAATTGTAGAAAGTTGTAGACCAGTCACAAAAAACATTGGTTTTATGTAGGATGATTAGTGATAGTGTGGCCAAAAAATGAGTCCATCCAACTCGAGGAAACTTTAGGCATCTTTGTTAAGCGGTATTCTCACTTCTAAGTAATCTTCATGTTGGTTCTTGAGAATGAGTTTGCGTGCTTCTCATTGAAAGTTAGTATTCCAGTCATGCATATTTCTTTCTATTTCATCCTGTCCACCTGTTAGTCTAGGCACATAATATGCCCTTTTCTGTGTATTGTGTTTATTATGAAAAACTTGACCATGGGTATAACACCTGATTTAATTTGTAGAGATACATGAACAACACATAATAAGATTTGGAAAAAAATAACAAAATATTTTTCTTGAGATGTCTTTTCTGACAATGGCGTAGCAACTGATTGCATTTTATTAACCCATCCAAAAAATTAAAAGTGGCATTCGATATTAATATTGTTCAGCTTGAAAAAAAAAAAAAAAGGATTTGAAATAAAGAGATTTTAGTTTTAAATAAAAGATGGGTTTTTCAACTCGAATTGGGAAGTCCAAGGGATGTTTAGTAATTGAGTTATGGGATATATATTTTATTAGGACTCTTCTTCTGCTATTATAATCTTATCAGCATGGATTTCAAGTAACCCTTTTCATCTTTTTTTTTTTTCCCCTCAAGTCAAACATGCATCTGGTTAGAACATAAATCTAATACTCTTTAAATAATTGAATTTATATCCATTCAATTAAATGCTTCAATCCAAATGGATCTAAAAGTTATGCTGTTTTATTAGGGTTTGCTTGCACTTGTTCTCTAAGCACATTGCACAAAAAATTGTTGGAGAACATCAAAAGTTTGTTTTGTTTGGTGGAATCATTGCTTTTGCAATCTTGGATATGTTCACAAGATATTGGTTTGTTGCTATAAAAGGTCACGATGTCTGTCCATGAGGACATGTTTTGGTACTTAATTTACGGAATATAGAAGGCTAGTGTAGAATGTTAATCTTTAATGGATTCAAGTAATTTAGAGAATATAGAAGGCTAGTGTAGAGTGTTAATCTTTAATGGATTCAAGGCTTGCATCAAAAGGGATGTTATACTCTTATTTTGTGTAATTTCTGGTTTTTTATAAACTTGAGTGTGCCAATGAACTTGTGCCCAAAGTGTTGATTTCATGGTTCTTGCGTGCAATAATCAAGCTTATGTTTCGGGGAACACAAGCTGAAGCAAGATATATGATCTTGTAACATGGCATTTCATGTGCCTGCTTAACTGTTAGCTTTTGTGAAGTGGTAGATTTTGTACATCTTGCGGGCAAAACTAGTGGTTTTTCTGCCACGTATAAAGGCTCATTCTACAGTTGAAGTTTCCGGTTGTTCTGTTTCCTTATAGACAATCTTTGGAAACAATGGGAAAAAGTGTGACCTATGAATTGTAATGACAGGGCTAAACTGCAAGATATTAGACAAAAAGATAAATTTGCATGTCATTCTGAAGCTGAGTTTTCATTCCTTTTTATTATCAAATAGTTGTTAGATCTGCATGTCACATTGAAGCCGAGTGTTTAAAGTGACCGTACCTGCGGATTTTCTATGACTTCATTTCTTCTTTTCGTGATAGCCATAGGGTTAGATCCTTTAAAATTGTAGAAAGCTGTTGACCAGTCACAAAAAAGACATTGGTTTTATATAGGATGATTGGTGTGATTGGTGATAGTGTGGCCAAAAGAATGAGTCCATCCAGCATCTTTGTTAAATGTATTGAACAATCTGGAGAAGAAATTGTAGAGCAATTGTTTGAAAGCGGGATGAAGAGAAGATGAAGAGAGGAACTGATTAATAGCTGCAGAAATTTATGTATTAATCCTTGCCCTAAAATAGTCGTGATGTGCACTTGTTGTTCAGTTAGGCCAAGTTTATTCCTTTCAAAGGTGTGTGTATGTAAGATAGGTGTAATAAGTAGGGGCCGTGAACCTTTAATTTAAAGCTCTAAGAAATTCATTTCTTGTACTAGTTTCTGTTTGTTGATAGATTGCATTATTAGGTTGATGGGAATGATTTAAAACTTTTTGTTATTGAAAAAGAAATTTGTTTAAGAAAATAGATATAGGAACTTACCATTGAAATGGGTTTCGTTTTCTGGTAATTCACCAACTGACCGGAGTGACAAAGAAAAATCATAGAAGAAATTCATTTGTTGTCGTATATGATGAGATCATGACAAAGTAGGTCATGAGGGAGGACCACTGGATCGCGATCAAACGTTTGTGCTGACGTTTCTCTATATTAAGCTTCTTGTTGGCGGCCAAGCCCAACTCAGCTCCGACTCATATTTCAAACATAGCACGCTCTACTTTTTGCATAAAGTTACTCCATTAAAGATGTTATAATGTTATTCCACGCATTATTTATCTTCTTCTGTTTGGGTCTTATATGGTTGGTTATCATTGGGGGTGAGGGAAAAAAGAAAAATAATAAATAAATTCTCGACAACAACAAAAAGGAAAGTTGATTGATTACATCAATATGTAAGTAACCAACTTGATGAGTGTTAGAATTAACAGCAAAGTTGTTAATTTGATTATAGTCGTTAACACTGGCTGAGACCTTGGCCTAATGTGATTGCCTGTTTTTTTTTTTTGGTTAGGCATGGGTTTTGCTGATAGATAAAGGAAAAAACATAAATAAACTAAACCAAATAAATAAACTATAAATATTAATAATTGAAAGCTATTTATGTAATAAGTTATGTTAATCACAATTATCACACTAACAAAGTGATCATTAATAATAATAATACCTAAAAAAAAAAAAAAAAGCAGTGGTCAAATAAAATCAAATGGCATCAAAACAGCAATCAAATTGAACAAAAGTCAAGCCGCCAGAGAGAACCGAGTTTGGGGATATAGATAGCATCCTCCTCCTCCGAGTATAGTATTATGAGGCAACAATCACACCGTGAAGACTCTCTCTATCTCTCTCGAGTTATTATATCAATGGACTACTCCTTGAACAAAGTGACACCAAACCCTCTCCTCCGGCGTAGAAACTCAATCGCAACAACCAAGCTCAGCCTGCCATCAAAGCTCCTCCAAGCCGTCGCCATCACCACCTCATCAACACCATCATTCCCAACAGTGGATTTGGAGCTCATCAAACCCCCCCTGTCCTACACCTCCTTAAAGGACATCCTCCCCTCCACCGCCAGTGTCCTGTCCCCCACCTCCAACGCCGTGCCAGTGTCAGCCAGTTGCGAGATCTCCATACGCAACCGCCTCGTCAAGCAAGCCGCCTGGTCCTACCTCCAGCCCTTATCCACCTCGCCGGACTCTGTTGGGCCTCACTTCCTCCGCCGACTGTGGGTCAGATTCTCCTGCGACTACGTCAAGAATCCCTTCACCGCTTTCCTCCGGTTTTTTGACCGCCGCATTTTACAGGCCATAACCAGAGTCTTCGATCGATTGATCCGACTTGTTCGGGTTCGGAGTCATTGTTTGTAGTCAATATAATACACAGTCGGGATGACTTTTATTTATTTATTATAAATATGTAAATGTATTATCACGTTCTGCTTTTTGTTTATTTAAAATGCGAAAAGAGACGGTTTGGAAAAATAAAAATACTCCCTGGTTTTATTTAAGAATGGGAGTGAGGAAAGTGTGGAAGATTAAATTAAATTTGTTGGAAACTATAAGTTAGTGTTTAAATTTATTATGATTCTAGAATTCTCTTTGGATGATGAATATATATTGAATTATTTGTAAGTAAGAAGTGAGAAGTCAATAATATCAAGTTTATATAAAAATGATGTGTTTGTTATTTTCCTTCTTCAATTGAGTGCCTTAAACAAATTATGTGGATTGAAGGAGGAAGATTAATAAATGTCATGATCCGCGCAAAGATTGAGATGAAGAAGCTGTTGGGATTTATATGCCCTGACATAACAAATTCCTGTTTGGATTAAAGTGACATATGTTCCTGACGTTTCTGAAATATTTATGTTTTATACAATTGGTGAATTCAATGTATTATATTTCGATTCATTATAGAATTGATAGTGTCCATTTGATTACAAGAGATATTTATATATATGTATGTGATGACAATCAATGCATATAAATAGTAATCATAAATGGTTCATAGTCGGTAATTATGGATGGACTCATAATTAATTAAGATTTGAACTGGATCCGCGTTAGGTTGAGATATATTGCGAGAGCCGTCGTATGCAATTGCTCCCTATCACCGTCATGGCATTTGACTCTTAAGCATGAGAAAATTATAGACTCTTTTATTAATTAATAATTACTTTGATTTGTTCGGCGGATTCTTTGGGATCCTTAGACCGACACTTTGGGTAGTTATGTAATTAATAGTTAGAGGGTTATATTTTCAATATTTGCATCATTGTTACTTGTATTTATTTTGTATTGATTATGGTTGATCACAAAGTAAATTCGAAGGCCTTCGTATGTTTTTAGACAAAATGATTTATTATATATTTATTTATTTAAATTATTATTTTTGTCAAACAAATATTTTATTGTGATCGAGCCAGAAATAATCAATGGTACCAAAATAAATATATTAATTAAGTAGTCGGATTGATGGCTTTATTTATCCGATAACAAATTATGCATAGAGGGGTCAAAGTGCAATATTGACTTAGAGGTTATTTATTATTTAATTGGAGTTCAATTAATTTCTTTTAGTGGAGTAGAAATTAATTTATGAATTAACTGAATTGGGTCCATGGATCGGGCCAATTATTAATTCATTGTAGCCAATAAAATCATAGGCCCAATGGATTCTCACTCATAGCCCAACTTGATATTGGAATCATATTAGATTTGAGACATGTGAATTAGAGATTGAGAAGGATTTGTTGTTTCCTTTTCTTTATTTTTATGTTGCCTATAAATATACACGGTCTATGTATATTTTGGAGGGTTTTTTTGGAAGAAGGAAAAAGGAATAAATTTTCTCTCTCTAAAAAATTAGGGTTAGTGTTCTCATCTAATGGAGGCTCCCACAAGCCTAGTTTTCCAAGGTCATTCATGGAGTCTTATGAGTGATTCCTAAAGGCAAGACCATTACCAAGAAGATAGAGATCCATGGAAAAGGTGTCTTGCAAAAGGGATCTACAATAAGTGAAAACATTCACTTTAGAGGAGAGATCTAAGGTTTACTCAAACCTTGATGTAAGTATTCAATCTTTTAATTGAATGATACATCATGTTTTATTTTTGCATAAAACTTGTCTCTATGTGATGAATCAAGATCTATAAATTTAAATCCCTTAAAAAGTTTTTAAAACTAGCACGTTTCCCTACAGAAGCTGTATCAGGAAATCTCTCCAACAAAACAAAATCTGCACACCAAACTACCATATGGCCAAGAAGGCACCAGTGCGGATCATCAACAGAAACCGACTAGCAGCTAGCAGAGGCTGGAAGTTGGAAGCCCCCAACAGAATAGAATATATATAATATATGTTAAATTTTGAATGCAGAAATAAGAAACACAAATAAGAAAAAGAACAAGAAATGGAAAACACGTTATATATACATGGTTACATTTCTATTATTCATATATATTTTACCTGAATACAAAGAGTCTATATATAGGCACGGTAAAAAGAATAAAATATAAAAAGTGTACAATAATCAAAGGAGGCACCATAATTGGTGGAGAATTTTGTTCCACCGTTATATAAAAATATTTATAATTGGAAGGAAATTGGCCGGATCACTATGATTGGTGGAGGATTTTGCTTCATAATTATATAAAAATATTTATATATTTCAACACTCCCCCTCAAGTTCGAGCATGAATATTATGAATGCCCAAGTTGCTAAAGAAACGCCTTGAAAGATGATGAGAAGGTGTCCGAAACAAAGTCAGGAAACTGACCAAATCTTGTTGGGAAAAATGACCAGATCTTGCTAGGGAAAATAAATTGGAACTCGCTGAGGAAAATGGCCGGAGCTAATCCGGGAAAAGGCTGGAACAATGTTGGGAAAATGGTCGGAACTAAGCCGAAAAATGGTCAGAACAACATTGGAAAATGGGCCGGAATAACTTCGGGGAATGCCAAGGTACTGAACCATTCGAAAAACTGACTGGAAGGGAAAGGAATGTGAAAACATGGATAATATGCTCTATGATAATAATACCAATACTCCCCCTCAAATTCTAGATGAGATTACAAGAACATCCAGACTCTGATACCATGTTAAGTATAAAAGAGAGAGAGAAAGAGATGAAATGTATATTGTATTGATGTGAATAATATAATAATACATAGGGGTTTATATAGGAGAGTAAGTAAACCTAAACCCTATATGTTTACGTAACAATATATTCCACAATATATTCTAACAATAAAAGAGAGAGAAAGAGATGAAACGCATATTGTATTGATGTGAATAATAGAAGAATACATATGGGTTTATATAGGAGACGATATATGTGGAGAGGAAGTAAACCTAAACCCTATATGGTAAACATATACATGGTAATACTATATTCTACAATATATTCTAGCAGCCCCCCTCAAAGTCAAGATGGGTTATATGAAGTCATCTTGAGTTTGAAGAAAATCATTTCATCCTGATGTAGCTAACGTAGCACCAATGCTGACGTGGTTGATAACATGGCAACTGAAGTGGATGGTGACTTGGCACTACTGCTGGCACCTCTGTTGCGTGGTAACTGATGTGGCACAACTAGTTGCACCATTGCTGTAATGACCTTGTCATTTTCCTTCCTTTCCTTTTTTTCAAATTTTACGGATTTTTTTTTTTTTTTTTTTTTTTTTCCGTTGATTTTTTTCTTTTCTAAGTTTGGTTTCTCATCACTTAGTGTCATTTAGAGTGCTTGGGAATGGTTTCTGAGATTCTTTCCTTTAAATTGACAACTTCTTTTAAGGATCGAGTTATTTCCATATTTCATTTTTTGGACACTATTCACTTTTCGTCTTTTTTCCGTTTGTCATTTTGTTGGCACAACCTCACTTTCCGTGTTTGGAATTGAGTTTTGACTTCACGAGTTTTCATTCAAGTTGATTTCCTCGAAACGCGTAACTTTACTTTTGGAGAAAAGCTTGCCAGTTGTCTCTTTCTCCCGCAGGGGCATGGATGAAAGGATTTTTCAGAAACATTGATATTTCTTGGAGTATTTTTCATAAATATCTTTTGGAAATATTTTGATTAGGGGTTTTTAAGAAAATATTTATTAGAAGATATTTTCATTCTGGTCCAATTTCGCAGTTATCCTTTCTTGGAGGGGCCATTGTGTAATTAACGAAAGTTATTGCACAGTGCCTCATTTTGAGCCTAGATCCTCGTACGGGATTCATTTTCACTTTTCATCAAGTCGTGTACTTTTAAAATTTCCTTCCGGTCGTTTTTCCTAATTTTAGGGTTTTCGACCCTGATTGTCGCCGAACTTGTTCGGGGTATATCTTTCTGCACGGTACTCAATTTTCGACGCCGTTTCTTCCGTTGTTCATTTTTTTTTTTTTTTTCATTTTGGTTCTTTTTTGTTCACGGTGTTTCACCGTTTGAGCGCGTCTACGCAGATTCCACTTTTCCGGACCGGTTGGGGCCCGTTCGGGGCACTTTTAGGGTTTTTCTATAAATAGGGGGACTTAAAAATGAAAATTCAATTTTTTCATCTTCTCCCTCTCTTGGTCGGCAGCCATGGCAGCCAAAGGGGCTGCCACCCTTCTTTATTCTTTTCCACCTTTTTCCATCTTGATTTGTGCTGTAGTGCCTTAGCGCCTTAGCGTTTATCGTAGGCCTTAGCGAGACGATCCTTTCCCCTTTATTAGAAGCCGATTTTGACCATTTTTGAGTTCGGATTTTGGGTTTGGGTTTGAATTTTGGTGGTCCGTCAAAGGTGATAGTTGTTTCCCTCGTAGTCCCCGACATAACCTAGAAGTATCGTCGGATTCGGAGCGGTTTACTTTCGGTGGGTTTGAGATTTCATCTCAAATGGAGGTAGGTGATGTTTTAGGTTTATATAATTGTTGTATTGATCGTTTTCTAAGCTTATATAACTTGTATGCATGCCTAAGTATTTTATCTAGAATTTAATTTAATTATTTTTATGTAGAAAGTTTAATTCACATGATTGTATATAGTGTGAAATTAACTTGTGGCATGCAATTAAATTAGGCCTTGATATGTTCATTAACATATATTAAATTGAGAATATTTAAATAAGTTTTGAGACTTTTATTTAAATATTTTATTTGGATGAAATTTAATTCACATGGTTGTACCTAGCATGTAATGAACTTATAATGTGATATTAAATTAGGCTTTGACATGTTCATTAACATATATGAAGTTGAGAATATTTAAATAAGTATTGAGAACTTTATTTAATTATTTTCTTTTATGAAAGTTTAATTCACCTAATCGTATCTAGGATGGAATTAACTTGTGATATGCTATTAAATTAAGTCTTGGCATGTTTATTAACATACTTTAATTTGAGAGCATTTGGATGAGTTTAAAAATCTAGAGATTTTAATTAAATGAAGTAATTAAAATCTATTTAATGGTTTCATCGACTTGATTAAGTTTTTAACTTGATATTTGTAATGACTAGGACTTGTTTACTAGCATGTGTTAATTTGAGACCATTTAGAGTTACTTTAGAATCTAGAGATTTAATTATCATATTTTAATTAAATTCTACTTTATTGTTCCAATGACCTAATTAAGTTTTTGAGTTGGTATATGTAAAGACCATGCTATGTTGTTTAACATATGTTAATTAGGGATTATTTGGATGGGATTTGAAATCTA